GAAACCCAGTTGCATGGGTTCATCAGGGGGCGTGTCACTTGAAACATGGAGCTGTGTGCGAGGATTTCTACGGCTGCGAATCAGATGATCAAGACGGATGGTAAGTTCAATGAGTTCGTTCAATTTCTTTCCTTCGTCACGGCAAGCCAATTCAGATTGTAGATTGGTATTCAGACCCCGTCTGAATAGTGTCTTCAGTGTATCCTCAACCCAGTTAGTTTGAGCGGCGAGAGTGCGAAATGACAGGGCGTATTCTGCAGCTGTGTTACGCCCCTGTGTAAGAGAAAGTAACTGCTCACCGGGGCTTCTCCCATCTGCTGGGTGCTCGAACACTTCCCGAAATTGCTTGAGAAAAGTTTCAAATGTGGGATAGTTACATTCCTCCTCCTTCCATATCGCTGTAGCCCATTCCAGCGCTTTCCCCGTTAACAGGTTGCATACAAAAGCCACCCGACTAGAATCAGTGGGATATAATGCAGGTTGTTGGTTAACAAATAGTTTGCATTGCAATAAGAAGCCTTTGCAGCGAGAAGGTGACCCATCAAACTTTTCAGGAAAAGCTAATCGGGGACTTACGGTAGCCGGAGCATTGGAGACATGCGTTGGTTGAGAAGCTGTCATGGTAGCAGGCGGGGTAACTGCAGGATTCGGATGACGGAGTTGCTGCATAGCTCTCACCAGTTCCTCCGTGAGAGAAGTTAGATGGGTGAGTTGATGATGGGTGGCTAACTGAGTGGCTTGAGCGGAAAGTTCAGTCGAGACTTGTGCTAAAGCTGCTGGATTCTGTAGTGGCGAAGTCTTCTGTTGTGATGAGTCAGAAGGCATTGAATCCATTTGCAAGCTTTATTAAGAGCACACATACAAACAAACACAAAGGGGCAATCCAGGAGACAGAACGTGGGACAGGCAAAAGTTCAAAGGCAGGCAGATATCTTACTGGTCAGAATAACAGGCTGGAGATCAGGGGCAGGCAGATGTCTTTCGTAATCGTAGAACAAGCACAGGGTCAGAAACACAGATCAGTCCGAAGCAGGGAGTATGGAATGCTCAGAAATGACAGCCAGGCAAATCAAGACTTCGCAACGAACCGGAGCGTGAGTGTGGTATATATACACGAGAGCTGATGAGTTGCACCTGGACCGTAATCAGTGCCAGGTAGCAGGGCTTATGGGATTTTGAGTCCGTGAGTCGAATCAGAATTCTGGCGATGGTTCCCTCTGGTGGTGCACAAGAGGGTTGGCATCGCCCTCATTTACAACAGGTTTATGATTAAATATTCACAAAAAAGATATCCATAGACTACTCTTTTTCATTTTAGAACATTAAAGGTATCACATACTGTCTATTTTTGCTACTTTTGGTTTACAAACATAATGGTTTGTAACTAAACAAATGAAGGAGAGACACTGTAACGTCAAGCTCATTTGTGTTTCATATGCATTGATGTGCAGAATGAGAAAAAAAATCAATTTTACCAAAATACACTCAAGAAATTTGAAGACACAGTCTTCACTGCAGGTATATCCTGTTTCATTCATTCAGTTATTTTATTTCATTCATTCACTTTATTTATTCATGTTATATATTTTAAAAAACACCATGTTTTAAATTAAACATTGACTCTTGACAAAGCAATATGTGTAGGCACGTACGATATACGAATATTACAAAATATGTACAGTGCATCCCCCCCAAAAAAGTATCCATATAGTGCTTAATTTTTTCCACATGTTTTTATGTTACAGCCTTATTACACAATTGATTTCCTCAATTCTACACACAATACCCCCTAATTTCAACATGGAAAAAAAAAGATTTTTTGAAATTGTTGTAAATTTATTAAAAATAAAAAACCTGAAAAATCACATGTACAGAAGTATTCACTGCCTTTGCTCAATACTTTGTTGATGCTCAACAGGATCTAGGTTTGGGCTCTGGCTGGGCCACTCAAGGACATTCACCAAGGTTGTGAAGCCACTCCATTGGTATTTTGGCAGTGTGCTTTGGATCATTGTCCTGCTGGAAGATGAACAGTCCTCCCAGTCTAAGGTCAAGAGCACTCTAAAGCAGGTTTTCATTCAGGATGTCTCTGTAAATTGCTGCATTCATTTTTCCCTCTATCCTGACTAGTCTTCCAGTTCCTGCTGCTGACAAACATCCCCACAGCATAATGCTGCCACCCCCATGCTTCACTGTAAGGATGGTAATAGCCTGGTGATGAACGGTGCCTGGCAGTCACTCCAAAGAGTGCAATTTTAGTCTGATCAAACCAGAGAATTTTGGTTCTTATGATCTGAGTCCTTCCGATGCCTTTTGGCAAATTTTAATACTAAGGAGTGACTTCCCTCTGGCCACTCTACCATACAGTCCTGATTGGTGGATTGTTGCACAGATGGTTGTCCTTCTGTAAGGTTCTCCTCTACAGAAGAACACTGAAGCTCAGACAGAGTGACCATCGGGTTATTGATCACCTCCCTGACTAAGGCCCTTCTCCCCTGATCACTCAGCTTAGATGGCTGGCCAGCTCTAGGAAGAGTCCTCGTGGTTCCAAACATCTTCCACTTATGGATGATGGAGGCCACTCATTGGAATTTTTGGAGCATTTTTCTGAAACCTTCCTCGGCCTTGTGCCTCGACAATCCTGTCTCGAAGGTCTACAGACAATTCCTTTGTCTTCATGCTTTGACATCTACTGTCAACCCTGGGACCTTATCTTATCCTTACCTTATCTGCCAGCAGCTAGCTCTCTGCAACTCTCACATGGTTGCCCACTGAAGCCAAGCAGGGCTGCGCCCGGTCAGTACCTGGATGGGAGACCACATGGGAAAGCTAGGTTGCTGCCGGAAGTGGTGTTAGTGAGGCCAGCAAGGGGCGCCCAATCTGCGGTCTGTGGGTCCTAATGCCCCAGTATAGTGACGGGGACGCTATACTGCTCAGTGAGCACTGTCTTTCAGATGACACATTAAACCGAGGTCCTGACTGTCTGTGGTCATTAAAAATCCAAGGATGTCCTTCAAAAAAAGAGTAGGGGTTTAACCCTGGCATCCTGGCCAAATCTGCCCACTGGCCTCTGTCCATCATGGCCTCCTAACCATCCCCATATTCAATTGGCTTCATCACTGTCTCCTCTCCACCAATCAGCTGGTGAGTGGTAAGCGGTCTGGCGCAAAATGGCTGCCGTCGCGTCATTCAGGTGGATGCACACTGGTGGTGGATGAGGAGATCCCCCCCCCCCATTGTGTAAAGCGATTTGTGTGCCCAGAAAAGCGCTATATAAATGTAAGGAATTATTATTATTATTATTATTATTATTATTATTAGACAGGTGTACCTTTTCAAATAATGTCCAATCAACTAAATTTACCACTGGTGAACTCAATTAAGCTGCTAAAACATGTCAAGAATGACCAGTGGAAACAGACTGTTCCTGAGCTCAATTTAGAGCACTCAGGCCCGGATTGGCTAATCGGGAGGACCGGGAAAATTCCTGGTGGGCCGGTCCGTTTTTTGGCCATGAGGGCCGGTGTCCGTAGCTCCAATCTGTTCCTCTCAGCAGTCACCTTTTTTAAAAATAATTTATTTATTTACTTGAGCACAGCCTTCTTGTTCATTATTTTACCGCAGCTCTGCTCTTTTTATCTATTTTCTCATAGCCTCGTGAGCAAGATGCAGCCTGCAGGTGAATGATGATATAACTAAATAAATCATCATTCAATGTACAGCTATTGTGGTACAGTGGTTAGCACGTTAGGTTATAATGCCGCCAACCCGGGTTTGGTCCTCGTCTGAATAACAATTTATTTTATTTTTTTATTGTTAAGACATATAATACTGTAAGGGTTGTTGAACATTTAAAGTTCTAAAGCAGCTGTTTTCTCAAAAAAAGACGTGATAGTGTAATTAGAAACTGAATTGGAAATGACCTTATTTTAATATAGTCAGTGGTGAAATGAGGTGGGCCGGTCTAAGCCTTGAAACTCCAGGGCTGAAAAAGAGTCCCACTCCGGCCCTGAGAGCACTATTAATACTGTATACACTGTATATACTATTACAGATGTTCAAGATAACACTTTCAAAACATGTTTCTTTTGTGAAAATTGTGAAAATATTTACCCACAGAGAGGGTTCTGCGATTGTTACCAGCTGAAGAACCATAATCTGCTACCGTTCAGAACCATTTTTCCTACGTGTACTCTACTGGAAAAGCCTGCATACAAAATGCACTTTAGATTACCTGCGATGAGGCTAATGTTGCTGACACTGACTAATGTTATTGACTTTGGGGCCCTGTGTGTTTGTGCATTGTGTTCCAAGTGTATTAGTGTTTGAGTGACAAGCCTCATAGTTTACATAGTGTCTGGCTGTCAGCTGGTTTCATTCTACATGCCTGCAAGTCAAACCTATAAACAGCATCTCTTCAAACTCTCTGCCAGACATAAGTCTTTTCACTAGCTAGTGCAGGTATGATGGTCTATTTGAAGAGCATACAGTTACTTGCTGTTTGGATGGATGTATTTTTTTGCTCTGTTTAACATTCACATAGAAACGTTCTCTGCTGACGCTGTTGGTTGCTTTAGATTAAAAAAAAAACGCTCTACAAATCATCAAGGACCCATTAATTGATATGTTTATTTTTTAATAACACATTTTAGTTTATATTTGACAAATAACACCAACTTATTTATTTTGTGATAAAGACTATCTGAATGTACTGTACATGACCCTATTTCATATATATTATAATATACATATCATTTGAGCAGTAATCTTTTTTCATTGAAAGAAGATTAAATTGCATATTAAAAAAACACGAAGCCAATAAGGAACAGCATGTGTCAGTCAATATCGATCCTATAGTTATTTAGCACATGTGGTAAGGTGCATAAAATTTTATGGGGCCCCAGAACACACACACACACACACACTTTCTCTCTCTCTCTCTCTCTCTCTTTTTTTAAGATGGCCCTTAAGAGGAGGTGCCACCGTGAACAAAATGGTTTATAAACTTAGTTGAGCACAGTATCTGTTCCCTGTTCGCTTTTGTTTCGATTTTCTGTTTCTTTCCATTTCCCCTATAGATATATCCAAAATGTTGAGATGGACAATTCTAAGGATGATGTTATTGCTGTGGATGACAAGAGTAACACTTCAGGGTGGCACAGGTAAGGATGCGGATGAAAAAACAATGCTCATTATTGCTTCTGCATATGATTTAGATGTAATGTAATATTTGTTTGCTAAAGTTAAGCCTGCAAAGAACAGAATACTATGATTTCCCCCCGCCAAAGCTTTTGAGGTTAGGGTTTCTGGTCTTAAAGTTTGATTTTGGTAGAGCTCTTTCCAAAATGTTGCCAAAAACAAAACAAAAAAGTCATCCCAAACATGACCAGAAAAAGGAATTTCATTAATTGAATGTGTGTGAAAGTAGTGGAATTAATTTTTTTAATTAATTTTTTTTTTTGGTGTAAATTGTGACCTTATATCATTAATGTCAATTTTTTGGTGAAATTGACATTCTTGAATCACACACGGAAGCTGAATAAACAAGCTTTCTGTTGATGTATGGATTGTTAAGACAATATTGTGCTGATATACAACTATTTTAAAGTCTGCAATCTGAGGGAACAAAATAAAATGCCATTAAAGAGTCCAAATTAAGCTGTTAGCAAGTCACTAATGAAATTGAGTTTGGATATATACAGTAGAAAATGTACAAAATAACATAATGGAACATGAAATTTACTTGATACTCAAATGTTTTGGACATTCTTTTGACCCATACAAAAAGTGTCTAACGCCAAAAATATACCATTGCAAAGTAAGATTGAATTTGTCGTTCAGATTTACAGTTGTGCAAGCAGGCTGGTCATCAACTTGGTAGAGAAATAGCTGGTTGAATGGTTAGTAAGTGTTAATGAATACAATAAGCATTTTTAGAAATTGATGAGGGTGAGGTGACTTTATTCTTCTATTCTACTTTATTCTACAAAGGAGTGCCATCGAACATATAAAGCTAGCCTAAAATAAACAAAAAGGTTAAGACATGTTGTATTGACCTGCACTTGAAATGCTGCTAAAGTGGATTTGAAGCAAAGAGGGTAAACAAATAAATCTAAAGCTTCCATGTGATAAGAAACGTCAAAAGAAATTGAAAGACTTGGTATAGAAATCTACAGTAGATATTCTTAGATTCTCTTTTCCAGATATTCATGACATGTTTCTTATGTCTTAAAACAATACAAGAAAACTTACAGCTTATTCACCCAAACTGATTGATTAGAATTATTTGTTAAACCTTTAAATTAATGTCTGTCAGTGTTTTTAAGAGGAAAACATTGAAACAAATTGGTAAATCCCAAAATTTTGAATGCAGTAACTTTCCAAATCTTTACATTTCAACAACAACAAACTTTCAATTTAAACAATTGTAAACCCTATTCAGTCATTCATGAGTGTGAAAAACAGCTTTGTGTTTAAAATCACTTACACTTCAATCAGAAGTGCAAGAAAGTCAAAAATCAAGCCTTGGTTATTGAGGTCAAACTAATTATGGTGGAATTTGGAATTGGCTTCTTGGTCACAGGCTTTAAGACATAGGATCTTTGAAATTGTGGCATTTAGTAAATAAGAAACACATAAAATCTGCGCAAACCTTCTGTGATACTGCATAAAACAATGAAAATACCTAGATGCGCACGTCTCCAAATCTGTAGAAGACACATTCTTTTTTTTCTCCATATGCAGCAGACACCTTCTTAGAAACACTGCATGTTACTGGGAAAGCATTGTGCAATGTGTGCTTCACCGTGGTGAGTGGGCTTGACAAACCACCTGTAAGAGACTCTTCCTGTTCATATGCACCTTAATGATAATAATAATAATAATTATAATAATAATAAAAATATTAAACTGCTAATCTTAAACTTGTCATGGCATCTACAGATGAAATCAGAAATATAAAACCCTTTTGAATATTTTTATTTTTATTTTTTTGCTAGAATAAAAGCAGAATAATTTTTTTTAGGTCAAAATGACTAGCCCCTTTAAGCTAGCTTTTATTTCTCGATAGTCTACAGAACAAATCATCCTCATACAGTAAATTGCCCAATTACCCTGTCCTGCCTTATTAACCTAGTTAAATGTTTAAATGTCCCTTTAAGCTGTATAGAAGTGTCTTAAAAAATATCTAGTCAAATATTATTTACTCTCATCATGGCAAAGATAAAATAAATCAGTTATTAGAAATGAGTTATTAAACTGTTATATTTAGAAATGTGTTGAGAGAATCTTCTCTTCTTTAAACAGAAAATGGCTATTAATTCAGAGGGGCTAATAATTCCGACTTCAACAGTATATTTTGCAGCTCTCGTGTGATTTTAAAGAAATTATTTTATCCTCATTTGTAAGTTGCTTTGGATAAAAGCATCTGCTAAACAAAGAAATGAATGTAAATATTGTTAAATTGGAGCAAAATCAAAACTGTTAAAATTGTTTTTCTAGAGGTAAAAAAAAGGAACATTAATCCAAAGAACAAAAACATTTTGCATAGGTAATGTTTGGTTAAAATCGGAGAATGTGCTTCTGAATGCCATTTTTAATTATGTCAGTCTGACGGCTTTGGCAGAATATCATTTACTACTTCTCTCAAAACAGTTTGTTTGCTGTAAGTGGGAGATGGAGAGTTTTATCCAATATTCTAATATTCAGTTTCTGCTGGAAATACAATTCTGAAGTCAGCAGGAACTTTCAGTTCACACATGGTGTGTTTCAAAAAGGTGCTATATTTCCCTCAGAAGCGCATTTCTTAGTGAAAACAATCATGACCACCATATTGAAGTGTTATATGGAATAAAGAATTTCAGAGGGTACAACTGATGCACACCTCCTTTCTCCATCATCATTTCCGCAGGGAAGTCGTTTGGTGTCAAACAACATATTACACTCAATCCCTTTGAAAATGTCTCTCAAGATGGTCAATTTTTTAAAGGGATTAGGGCGAACACTGTAAAAAAGCTTTCATTTATCCAATTAAAAAAAACAATAGGGTAATAGTTCACATCTGAATTTTATCACTTGACACAATGAAAAATAAATAATTTACCTTAATACTTTCGGTCACACTTTACTTTTTGATGGAAGTTACATTGAATCTACACGCCAACTAATTCTCATTAGATTATAAGTACACTGTTAGGTTGGAATTAGGGTTGGGGTTAGTGTTGGTGTAAGTTTAAATGTACATGCAAAGTTTCTTATAGTCAGTTACATGCCTGTTGAAGGAGCAGTATTAACAGATATTAAGGAGACAGTCTCTCAAATGGACCATCAAAATAAAGTTTTACCTTATTTTCTTTTTCCATGAGAACAGTTTTATATAACCTGGTTCAAAGCATATTTGTCTTGCTGAAGAAAGCCAATCCATTTAAATTCTCTTTTTGTTCTAAACAAAATCATATAGCTTTAATCAAAACAACAATTACTATAAAATGTTTTTTCATCCAATTAAAAAAATGTAGGGTAATGGTTTCACACCTAAATTTTATCAATAGAGCCAATGACAAATAAGTAAAGTCCAAAAAAAGTAAGCATATTAAGTTTCTGTTTAATGTGTACGCACTGGCCTGTGTATGCACTGGCCACTGACTTCAAATTACTGATTTGAAAGATAAGTTTTTAAGAGGATGAAGTACTGCTTGAATTCAGTGTAGGGATGTACAAAATATAAGTGGATATATTTTATGACTACCAAAGTCTGTCTTCAAAATTATTTGGTTAAATTCTCTCCAAGAACTCTCTCAACATTGTTTTTCCAAAATTCAGGTAATCAGAAAGCTACAGATAACATGATATTTTTGCATAAGATACAAAATGCATGTACATACTAGTCTATTAATTTAATTTCAATGATTTTTATTATTGATTAATTTTTTGTTAGTGATCATTTGCACCAGATTTAATTTCTCACAATCAATGTGCACTTCAAATGACAGAAGTATAGTATAGAATTTTCCTAATTTTCTATGCTATGGTTTTACTTTTTGAACAGAATATTTGATAGTATTGGTCTTTATGTCTTTTAAACCAACTATGGAGATTCTATAAATTTCTTTTTTTTAGCTCAGTTGCAAACTTCAATGTGATACATTGCCATGTACACTAGGTTGACCTCTGACAGGACTGTTTTTTTTCTTATTATTTAAGGGTACCAACCTCAAAAATCAAATGGCAATGCAGCACCGATTTCACCAGGAGGTAATATCAATCTTTCAATCTTAATCATTCTTTATACTGTTGTTGTAAATAACATTTTCATTGCAAAGTTATTTGCATGTTATTGGAAATAATTTATTAAATTGAAGGGACAGTTCACCCAAAAATGAAAATTTTGCAGTCACTCTTGATTTGTTCCAAAACAGTTTTGAGTTTGGTTTTTCTTTTGTTCTAATACTGATTGCTAAAGAATGTATTTTGAGGAATAAAGGAACCCTGTAACCATTGCCATTCATACTAAGAAAAATAAATACTATGGAATTCAAGATTCCAGATTTCCAGCATTCTTCAGAATATCTTGTTTTTTTTGATCAACAGAACAAAATAAAATCTCTGGCTAAGAACAAGTCTAATGTAAATGAATAATGTCAGAATTTTGCCGTGAACTATCCTTTTAACATTACATTTTTAACTTGATTTTCTAATATTGCAAATATTCTGCTCACGAAAATGCATAACTGATTAAATCTATATTTTCAGGTTATGGTTCAAATAACAATGCAGCAAATCTGAAGGGATATGGTGAGCAAGAACAGAGTGTTGATTATGCATTTAGAGTAGGCTAAATCAGGGGTTCCCAAACTCTTCAGCCCGCAATCCCTAAAATAACAATGCCAGTGACTTACGACTCGAAGGAAATATACGAACGTTGTGCACACAACAATAGGCCTAAATAAACATGGTCATATTGACAACACAAAAAAGTGGAACAGTCTAACAACCATATATATATATTTATAGTCATTTATTAATTTGTTTCATTTAATGTGAACCTCAACTAAAAAGACTGGTGGACACAATGTTTTCTGCACAAGTCTATTCTTGGTTTAATTCTTGGAGACTGCCAAACAGAGATCATTTGCAATGTTCGGTTGTGGCCTGTATTTGTTTTTAATGTATTTGAGTGCCATAATGGTGTCAGAAAGTTTAACCTGGTGCTATAAAATCAAACTGCGGCAGCTGACCCTATTGCTGTGTGGCTGATCTAACATAAACACACCAATAATAAAAATAACATAAAGACTGATGCCGTTTCATTTCCATGTTGGTTTTTACTATTAAGAACGACTATTTTTATCTTATGTGGGTTATCATTAAAATATGATAATTCTGATAATTTCTTTAGTTTAAAAATTTATTTGACTTTTGAAAATCAAGCGACCCCCTTTCATTGTCTTACGACACCTTAGTGGGTCCCAATCCCCATTTTGGGAACCACTGGGCTAAATATGTAGAGCTATAGCTCTATTTAAAACTAATCTAACAGTGACTAATATTAACTATGATTAGTATATTTACATTTTTTATGTATGTTTTTGATATGAATTTTTTTAATACAATTATAGAAAATTAGTTCCTACATTTGAATGTTTATCTGCTGTCTTTCAGGTGTTTATGGAGGTGCACAAAATAAGCCTGCAAATAGAGGTCATCTCCCACATGGTATGAACATCTTGTGCAACTAATGAGTGCAACTTTTTGATAAAAAAAAAATATAGGGAAGGAAAGTCCTTATTACAAATTTTTTGAGTTTTTTTAAAAAAGAATGCATCATCTAAAGCATATTATGTTATTTAGGGAAAGAGTTTGGTTTGTTTCAAATTTTTCTACTAAACCTCCAATTTGACTAATCATATAAATCGGTACATCAGAGTTGCTCTTGGGTATTTTGACCTTCTGCAGTAAGATTTATGTTACAAAGAATTTACAGTTTACATTAAACTTTTACATTAAACTTCATTAACTGTGACAACTGAACTGGAGCATTTTCAATTTACAAGAACTTCATGTATTAAGCTGCTATGACACACTCTACAATGTAATAAGTGCTATAGAAATAAAGATGAATTCAAAATAAATGCGTTGATCATGAAAATTATAATTATTATTTGCATTTAAAATGATTTAGAAAAATGAAAAGGGATCAACCTGACAACATTGCTCTTTATATTTCTGGTTACATTATTTTAAACAGTTTACTTATTTCAAAGTAATTTACAAACTATTTACATGTTATTCAGTTTAAAATCAATAACAGTATGAATAAAATTTGTTACAACCATCTCGCCTAAGAAATCTTCTAAAAGTGTGTATGTTCCTTTGACTTTAAAGTTTGTGCTGTGTCTGATTTAGCTGAAAAAGATCATTTTAGTTATTTTTATACAATCTTATTTTATATTAATTTTTTATGCAAAAATTGTATTTATTCTTTATGTACAGCTCTTTCATTGCAAAACATTCCTGTTATTCATTATTGCAGGTTATGGAAATGGGAATACTAATGGTAACAATGGCTACAAAGCTCCATCATATGGGGGTGGGTTTAATGAGCAAATTTTTTATTTATTTTATTTCATTTTATTGTTTTTAAAATTTGTTTCCACATCTAAAACTGTGCCGTTGTGTGTATTTTCATTAAAGGCTATAGCAATTTATTGGGCACTCATCCCCGAAAAGGAGCTGGTTTAGGTGAGTAACTATTTTAGAAGCTAGTTCAGCCATTTCTTTTCTCAGGTGGTGAATTTCTAAAAATTTGTGCAGACTATGGTCAGATTTTGAGTAAATCTCAAGATCCAAATAAGCTATTCAGACAATTCTATCACAAACAGGGTGCAGGCCTATTTTGCATACCGCATGTCTAATGTATTTAACAAAAACTAGGGATGTGAAGTAATTGATAATCGGGTTGTTGTAAGACTTTTATCAAATGTTTACTGATAACATGAAGTGAATGCGGTTGATGTTGGTGGTATGGTTCTGTTCTTTGCATTGTTCAACTAAGACACAATTTTGGTTTTATTAGGACATTTATCACATGACAAATGCCTATAACTTTAAAATCTATAAAATCAAGATATTTTACAGATAGAATTTAGATATTTATTTATTTAAATCCAAGATTTTTGTAATATAATTAATTATATATATGTATGTATGTATGTATGTATATGTATATATATATATATATATATATATATATATATATATATTAGGGATGTAACGGATCACGGTTGATTCATGCTTCATATGATCACAACCTTCTGAACACACATGGCCACATTAATACATTTTTTTAAACTTGTAGACTAATCGTTAATTTGTAACGATCACAGAGCCACCATTCAAATCACATGTATGACAAAATTTAGGCTTTTCTGTAAAATATAATGATGACGGAAGAAGTTGTGGTAGGTAATTCAGGATGTGGTGGATTTCATTAAAGGTGTTTTCTATCACTATACTTGTTTAGTCTGCATCCATGTATTGTAAGCGGCATGGTTAATCATTAACCAAATATGATAAATTATAAATAATGGTGAGTTGCATATGTTGATTAAGCCGTTGTATCGCAGCATTCAAATCTGAAAATGCAAAAATCAGGTCTTTAGTCTTTTGAGTTGTTGTTGTTGTTGTTGTTGTTGTTGTTATTATTATTATTATTTCTTCCTTTATGTAGCTAGGAGATCACAATAAAACAGTATTGTCTCTTCTTCCAGTGAGTCCTGGTCAAGATGGCAGGCAGAACATAAAGTTTCACATAAAAATCACAAAAACAATACCACAAAATTACATAATCACCATTCATAAAAAGATCAGATAATAAAACAAATTACACGTAGATTAGTGTACAAAAGATGTTTGAAAGTACTCAAAGTCTGAAGTTGTCAAGATTGAGCTGATTTTGCAGGTCATTCCAAGCCTTGGGAGCATAAAAGGAGAAAGCACGTTTGCCAAGTTCTGACAATGCCCTTGGGACTGTTAAGGGAAAACAAGAACCAGATCTAGTGTGTTGGTCATTTATTTGAAATGTTAACAAATTAGAAAGATAGGATGGTAATTTACCTAAGAGAGCCTTTAAAGGCTTTAGTTAGTTATGAAGTTACAAACAGACAAGTACCACAGAAGTACTGGGATAACAGTTTAGTTTAGATATAACCACTGATGTTTAGTGTAAAGATTAAAATCACCGTCGTATGCATTTAACGACGCTCAAAAAAGAAAGTTGTAGGCAGCGATTATGTTATTTAACCAATAAGTGGCAACAGCCAGTCATTCATAAGATATAGTAATTCATTCATTAGGCTTAGTCCCTTTATTAATCAGGGGTTGCCACAGCATTTTACGCCGTGAATGCCCATCAAGCCGCAACCCAACACTGGGAAACACATATACACTCCTGCATTCACAGACATACTGCAACCAATTTAGTTTATTCAATTCACCTAAAGCGCATGTCTTTGGACTGTGGGGGAACCGGAGAACCTGGAGGAAACCCACTGCGAACACTGGGAGAACATGCATACTCCACTCGGAAATCCCAACTGACCCAGTCAGTGCTCAAACCAGAGACCTTCTTGCTGTAAGACGATCATGCTACCCACTGCTCCACCGTGACGCCCTAGTTATATAGTCATAAAATGTTATCTTGTGTACCTGCCATATTAAACAAAAACCTCATAAAAAAATTATAACCGAAAGCACTACTGAAGATTGCCTACAAAAGAAGTAGATTGGTATTTTTGAATGGCCAGGACAGTGTCCTGATTTAAGTCCAATTGAATTTATGTCATGACCTGAAGATTATTTGAAGTTAATACACATATTATGAGCAAAGTATAAGCATATTTAAACCTCATTGGTATTCTCTATATATTTAAGAATGCTTTGATAATTGTGTTTCCTAGGTTTTGGTGCTGGGCCTGCAGCAACTAAGGGACAAGGTTCAAATCCCGGAGGTATTGATTTTTTTTTACTTGTTAGGGACCGAGCACCGAAATGGTGCGTAGGCCCTATTGGAATTGCTCCGTTTATATATAAATTATATTTCTAAATTGCCATTTTTGAAGGTATTATTCACCTAAAAATGATTAGTCTGCCTTTCTACTCAACCTCCACTTGTTCCAAATCAGTTTGAGTTTTTTCTTTCTTAGGGACTGGTAATATCAGTTGACCTAAACTAAATCTAAATTGTAACATTTGGTACAAAAAGGACCTAGGTCATTGTGGCTGACTGTACCATTGCAAAAACAAGGCAGATAAAGAGGTCCCAGTATACTACCCCTGTTATTTTTTTATTTTTCATTTGAGGGCAAAACGAAGTTTGAAAAGACTGTTATTGTATACTGTTTGCAAACAGGGAGGGGGGGGGAGGGTTAAATATGTCACGCTGCTCACATGTACCCCAAAGACAACAATAATGACTGAGAGAGAAGAACTGTTTCATAAACAATTGACAAACAGCCTTCTCCATATGAATTGTCACCATGGTGCATCACGTCTTTACTTTTTTTCTATGTGCCACAATCAGACACCCAATGGTGCAGCCATTGTGTGCAATTGCATAGAAAATGTGGCGTGATGAAGTGGGCTTCTTGTCCAGTGTGTGACCTCCTCCGACTCTTTAAAATCTCTCTACTAGTGACCATACAGGTGCGAATACATCTGTACCAGCCCTGCTACTCCACTCTCCAGTGTATTCATGTGGCTAGTTTTGTTGTGGAGGTGGAGTTCCAGGACGCACTCATTGATTGCATAATCGCCATGTACCTTAAAGGTTTTTAGGAGCCAAAACAAACTCCCTCAAAAGTTCCAGAAACCAAAACCCTGTACTTTATGGAGAAACTGCATACTCTTAACACAATGGTTGTTTAGAATGCTACCAAAATCTGTAGCAGGGGTCCCCATACATTTTCGTACAAAGGGCTAAAAACCAAATATCATTGAGAGTCATGGGCCGAAGATAAATATACCAAACAATTTTACGTTAAAGTTGCCCATGGGTCATTTTCTAATTTATTTCATAATATTTCCAAATAATTAGAAAACAAAACTTTAAATTGTATCATCTAATGCAGTATAACTTTAAAAATGATAACGTATAAATGGGAACATGTTATTGCTATGACACTGTGGAGTTTAATGCTGAATACACAGGTCATGTAGAGTCTGCCTTTGACTTGATTTATTCAACAAATTCTCTGCATTGTCTGGTGACAGAATGTACATTTAAACAAAATATGATTGGTTCGCACCTTTTAATTGAAACATTTTATTTCAGTTAGGTTTTAAAAAAAACAAAAAAAAAACATTGACAATCTTTAAACTACGCTTATCATTCTCGCTCTCTTCTCAGATAGGAGATGTAAAAGAAATGAAAGATTACCACAGGTCAACTTTGGCCCGCTGGCCCTAGTTTTGGCATCTTTGATATATAGGGTCAATTTAAATGGCTTTTCATTTGTGGCCTTTGTCAAATCAAGTTGAGTTTCACATTCCAATCCTTCTTTATTTGAGGACATATAGTACAATTTAATACTGTGTCTAACAGTACCATAGTGTGACGTAGTTAAACAAACATACATTAATGAGAACTATTTTATAAAGCTATATGCACAGCAAATAACTAAATTTAAATTTAATCTACTATAATAAAAATTTAAAATATAAACATATTAGCCCTCACTGTGGCTCAGTGGTTAGCACTGTTGCCTCACACCAAGAAGGTTTGAGTCCCAGCTGGACCAGTCGGCACTTCTGTGTGGAGTTTGTATTTTCTCCCTGTGTTCACCTGGGTTTCCTCCAAGTGCTCTGGTGTTCAGTTTATTTGTCCTACCTTGTCAGATTGTCCTACCATTCTGTTAGGTAGCCCATTAGGTAGCACATTTTGATGACGGGGTGCTACCCATCAGATTTTGCTGCCAGTGTAAATTTTAATCTAGAATAGTGTGATATAAAGCTGTAAATATTGTCCTAATCTATCTAATCCCTAACCCCTACCCTAAAACGATTCAAGTGCAGTGTTGGTAGCATGTCTGATGGGTAGGATAAAATGTTAGGTTATCTGTTTCCCCCACAGACATGAAGTATACTGAATGAACTAAATTGGCCATAGTCTTTGAGTGAGTGTGAATAAGTGTGTATGGGTGTTTACTGTGTTGCATCTTGAAAGAGCATCCGCTGCGTAAAACATACACTGGAACAGTTGGCGAGTCATTCCCCTGTGGTGACCTCTGTTAAATTTGAGACTCAGCCAAGGGAAATTAATAAATGTATAAAAATTTTAAATCTTGTTCAGTTTGACTTAAGTACTTTTATCTTTCTAATTAGGCTCCTCACAGTATATGGGAAACACAAATGGAGGAACAAAGGGACCTAAACCAGGTAAAACATTTTGGTTTATTACTCATGTGGTGTGTAAATGGATGTATTTGTATTTCCATTGTACTTTTCTATACGATATAAATCTTATGTGTATTGGGTTTTCAAAGGATATGGTGCTCAAGCTGGGCAAACCAATGGACAAATAGCCAAGCCTAATGGTAACCAGCATTTTATTATTACCGTTATAAAATCCAATTGTGTAGAACTTACAGTGCATTGTGTAGGATGATGCATGCACCCCTTTAACAGCACAATCATATGATTCCCTTTTGTTATGCATACTACTATGGCCTCATTTAGAATAATCTATATTACTGTTAGAAAAAAATTTAATTCCAAAACACTAAAAGCCTATATTGAAACGGAGTGTTAACTGAAGGAGATCTGATCTATTTTTTTTTCTTTTTGTATAGGTTATGGGGGATATCCTAATGGAGGTGCAGCTAACCAGCCTAAAACAGGTAATATATTGAATTTTATGAGCATGCTACATTAACAAACAGAAAGTAGTTCTTGAAATGAAGGCAGTACAAATAAAAACTTGTATAAACTGTATGATTTGTTCCTAAAGGAACCTTCGATAAATCTTTATTTTGATGGTACATTTAAGTATTAGTAGACTGTCTGCTTAATATGTTGGTACTACTCCAGCAGACATTTAACAGACTATAAGAAGCTTTGAAAGTACATGTCAACTTACACTAACCCTAACAGTCTACTCATAATCTAATGAGAATTAGTTGACATGTAGAAGCAATGTAACTTAAATTCAACAAATGGACCATCAAAATAAAGTGTGAACCAATCTTTAATGAAATGGTTCAATTTTAATCATTGCATGAAAGAAAGAGAGATCCATGAAGCAAGTTTTTTTGTGCGGAAATTGCATAACACTGGTCTAAAGTTTTTTTTTTTCTCCCCTTCTTATTAGGATTTTCTCAGTACATGGGGTATCCTAATGGTGGAACTAAGGGACCTAAACCAGGTAAACCTTTTTGTCTGGGTTTATTTGTCTATTATAGTATAAAAATTATGTATGTTGCTTCAAAAGATATGGTGAGAAAGCTGGACCTTCAAATAGACAAGGAGCAAAGTCTATTGTTAAACAGTAATACATTTATTACAATAATAACAACGTGCTTTCATAAATCAATAATGTAATTGTTTATTAATCTAGCAACTGTATTGTACCCTACTGAGATTGATTTGCATTAGCACTAACATTCTGTTATGTAAAGTTATTGATGGACTACTAAACTGGTTTGGGATTGCTTTTGTTAAGGGTATGGAGGATATCCTAATGGAGGTGCAGCTGTCCAGCCTGGTACAGGTAACAAAATTGATTCTACAGTTCAGTTTACTACTGTATAGATAAAATTGGATTCTGAAAAGTAAAGGATTCTTGTCTAAAGTGGTTTTCTCTAAGTAGGGTCTTCACAATACAAGGGATTTCCCAGTGGTGGAATCAAAGGACCTAATCCAGGTAAACTTGAGTGTATTTGTGTATAACGTTTGTTTGTTTGTTTGTTTGTTTGTTTGTTTGTTTGTTTGTTTGTTTGTTTTTTACTTTGCTGGATTTTTCTCTATTACTTTTGTGATAATGTTACTTATTTAGCACTTATGTTATTATATTTTTTAATCTTATGTGTTTTGTTTTATACAAAGGATTTGCTGCTAATGCTGGAGCATCTAATGAAAAAGGAGTCAAGCCTAATGGTAACAAACATGTAATCATCGCTGTTTATTACATGGCTGTCTTTAATACTTGGTTTTGATTGGTCAGTCAAAACATTCCACTGTATGTGTAACACTGTGTAACACAGGCTCATCTAAGTATTTCGATTCATCTTGACCATCAGTGAATCATTCACATCCTCATACATCCACATTTATATTTACATGCTTGTCTTTTATAAAACTGTTATTGACTTTTTGGCACTGTTTGTGTCTGAATGGATAGAACATTATGCCTCAGAACAATGTTTTGAGTATAATCTGTATGTTTTTGTCAAATAGCAGTGTAATAAGTGTGAATAAACACATCCAGGTGGTTGATATTGGAGAATAAAAGCTGATGGCCCGTTAAGATTATTTTGTGTTAACAAGCTCCTTTATGTACTTTATGACTTAATTAATATGTATTATTGGTGGAGTTATTTATCAGGTCAACAGAGCATTAAAGTTCTGTTTTGCTAAGTAACTGGAGGATGCCTAAACTGATTGGGATTGGTTTTGTTCAGGATATGGAGGATATCCAAATGGAGGTGCAGCTAACCAGCCTAATGGAGGTATTGTGAATGTCACCAGCTTTCATTATTATTGTGTGTATGATGCTATGTTTAAAAACAAAATGTGGAAACTACACTGGTCTAAATAAGACTTTATTATTCTTATTTTTAGGCTCCTCACACTATATGGGTTATCCCAACGGTGGAACCAAGGGACCTAAACCAGGTAAGAGCCAGATAACTTTTTAGGTGCAGTGTGTATAGTGTATATTTTATTTATAATGTATGGTCATTCAAATATTATTTGTGACATCTGCTTCATAGGATATGGTGCTAATGCTGGACCTTCAGCTGGACAAGTTGCCAAGCCTAATGGTAAATAGGAAAACAGGATTCATTTATTTATTTATTTGTTATTAGCAAAGATAACTGAATCACCTCTGAACTGCTTTTTGTTCAGGATATGGAGGATATCCCAATGCAGGTGCAACTAACCAGCCAAATGGGGGTAATATGAACGTCACCAGCTCTTTCATATAGATTTAATTTTACAGTGTTACTATTATAGTGCAGATGATACTACATTAAAGAACTGGGTAAAGCATAACTGGTCTAAATGAGACTTTCTTGAAATTATTTTTGTCTTAATAGGGCCATTTCAAAATATGGGTTACCCCAATGGTGGAACCAAGGGCCCTAAACCAGGTAAACATTTTTGTTTGAGTGCAGTGTGTATGGCACCTATTTCTTTTTTTTATACATAAATGATATGAATATTATTTGTGATATCTGTTTCAAAGGATATGGTGCTAAAGCTGGACCCTCGGCTGGACATGTAGCCAAGCCTAATGGTACATAAAATTTAATTATTTATTGTAAAGATAGCTAACTGAAGCACCTCTAAATGGATTTGGGATTGTTTGTTGTTCAGGAAATGGAGGATATCCTAATGGAGGCGCAACTAGTCAACATAATGGAGGTAATGGGAATTTCACCATCTCTTTTTTTTAAATAGACTTTTACAGTGTAATTTTCACAGTGCAGATGAAACTAAATTAAGGAACTTGGGAAACTACAAACCCATTTCCAAAAAAGTTGGGACACTGTACAAATTGTGAATAAAAAAGTAATGCGCTAATTTACAAATCTCATACACTTATATTTTGTTTACAATAGAATATAGATAACCGAATCTAGATGCCGACAGCTAGCTCTCTGCAACAGTATGGTGACAGGGACTCTATACTGCTCAATGAGCACTGTCTTTCGGATGAGAAGTTAAACCGAGGTCCTGACTCTCTGTGGTCTTTAAAAATCCAAGAATGGCCTTCGCAAAAGAGTAGGGGGTTTAACCCTGGTATCCTGGCCATATTTGCCCACTGGCCTTTGTCCATCATGGCCTCCTAACCATCCCCATATCATAATTGGCTTCATCACTCTGTCGCCTCTCCACCAATGAGCTGGTGTGTGGTGTGCAGTCTGGCGCAATATGGCTGCCGTCACATCATCCAGGTGGATGCTGCAGACTGGTGGTGGATGAGGAGATTCTTCCCAATGTGTAAAGTGCCTTAAGTGCCCTGTAAAGCAATATATAAATATAAGAAATTATTATGACTTATGAAATGCTGAAAGTGAGAGATTTTAAATGTTCAGGCCAAATATTGGCTCATTTTAGATTTCAAGACAGCAACACATTACAAAAACGTTGATACAGGTAGCATTAAGAGGCTACAAAAGTCAAATGGACATAAAGAACAGCTGGAGGACCAATTTTCCACTTATTAGGTCAATTAGCAACATGATTGGATATAAAAAGAACCTCTCAGAATGGCTCTTAGAGGTCAAGATGGGCAGAGGATTACCAATTTCCCAATGCTGTGCCAAAAAAGAGTGAAGCAATATCATAGCAATATCGGGAGTTGCAAAGAGCGAAAAATTGCAAAGAGTTTAAAGTTCTCACCATCTGCAGTGCATAATATTATCCAAAGATTCAGATAATCTGGATCAATCTCTGTGCGTAAGGGTCAAGGCCGGAAAACCATACTGGATACCCATGATCTTTGTCCACCGTGCCATTCGCCATTGCCAGCTAAAAGTCTAAAGGTGAAAAAAGAAGCCATGTTTAAGCCCAGGCATTTTCTCTGGGGCAAGGCTAAAATGAATTGTGGTGAAGTGGAAAGCTATTCAGGTGTCAGACTAATCAAAATTGAAAGTTCTTTTTGAAAAAAAGAATGTAATCCAGACTACAGAGAACAGGGACAACCCAAGTTGTTATCAGCACTCATTTAGACCGCTGCAGCTCTGATAGCATAGCGCTGCACAAGTGTGTGGCATGGGCAGCTAAATCATCTGGAAAGGCACCATCAGTGCTGAAATAGATATCCAAGTTTTAGAACAACATATGCTTCCATCCAGGCATCATGTCTTTCAGGGAATATCTTGCATTTTGCAACAAACAATGCCATACCAAATACTGCATCAATCACATCATGGATGCTTAGAAGAGAGATCCAGGTACTAAAAACAGCCAGCTTGCAGTCTAGATCATTTACCCATAGAAAACATTTGGCGCATGACTAAGATGAAGATGCAACAAAGAAGACCTAATTTGAGTAGCTAGCAGGTATTTGAGCAGCTAGAAGCTTGTATTAGACAAGAATACCAACTTCTTGGGATTACTTGTAGAGTAATCAAAATAAGACTTAATTTAAATTATTCTTGTCTTATTAATTAGGCTCTTCTCAATTTATGGGTTATCCCAATGGAGGAACCAAGGGACCTAAATCAGGTGAATATCCTTTTTTTTTTTATTGAGTGCAGTGTGTATGGGGTGTATATTTTATATTTCTTACTATTTATTTGTATTTCCACATCTGAATCGAATTTTATTTGTGATGTCTACTTCTAAGGATATGGTGCGAATGCTGGACCTTCAGCTGGACAAGTAGCCAAGCCTAATGGTAAATAGTATTCATTTATTTAATTATTTATTTAAATGGAGGTAACCCATCAGAACTGATTTATAGTTGGTTTTTGTTCAGGAAATGGAAGATATCCTATTGGAGGCGTTGCAAACCAGCCTAATAGGGGTAATACACATGTCACCAGCTTATTTATATAGATTTAATTTTACAGTGTAATTATTATAGTGCAGATGATACCAAATTAAAGAACTAGAGAAACTACACGGGTCTAAATGAGACTTGAAATTATTCTTTTATTAGGATCCTCTCAAAATATGGGCTATCCCAATGGCAGAACTAAGGGACCTAAACAAGGTAAACTTTTTTTGAATGCAGTGTATATGATGTGTATTTTTTATATTTGATTTTAATCTTATTTGTGATGTCTGCTTTTGAAGGATATGGTGCTAAAGCCGGATCTTTAGCTGGACAAGTAGCCAAGCCTAATAGTAAATAGCATTAATTTGTTAATTTATTTATTTAAATAAATATATTTTGCAAAAGATGTATGGATGCAGTCCTCCAAGCTCATGCCAGTCATACCCAATATTAATTCTTTCTTCACTGCACCGTGACTTTATATTCTGTACTGTACATTATTTCTGTTAAGTGACTTGTATAAGTCAGACCTTACTGTCCTATTTAAACATTTAAAAATCAAATCATTATCAGATTTTATTTTGGTAAAAGAAGCGTAATTTAGAGGCCTTTGCATTTTATATAAGCCACTTCTGATATCAAATGATCAACTAGAAGTCAAGTTATTATTTCTTGTTCTTACAACTTGGATAGGTGTCAAGACTTTTGTCAGGTAGTGTAAATAGAAGGAACTGACATGCATTTAAACTGATTTGGGATTTTTTTTGTTCAGGATATGGAGGATATCCTAATGGAGGCGCAGCTAACCAGCCTAATGGGGGTAATATGAATGTCACCAGTTATTTTATAGAGATTTAATTTTACAGTTTAACTATTACAGTGCAGATGACTCTCGGGGAAACTACATGAGAATTCAACTTTCTCGAAATTATACTTGTCTTATTAGGATCCACTCAAAATATGGGTTATTCCAATGGTGGAACCAAGGGACCTAAACAAGGTAATTTGTTTTTTTCTGCAGTGTGTATGTTGTGTATTTTAAGATTTATAATTTGAATCTTATTTGTGATCTCTGCTTCAAAGGATATGGTGCTAATGCTGGACCTTCAGCTGGACAAGTAGCCAAGCCTAATGGTAAACTGTATTAAATTAGTTAACTATTAATTGTTACAGTTCTAAACTGATCTGTGATTGGTTTTGTTCAGGATATGGAGGATATCCTAATGGTGGTGCAACTAACCAGCCTAATGGGGGTAATATGAATGTCACGAACACTTTTTACATAGATGTAATTTTTCAGTATAGTTATGGCAGAGCATATGTTGCTAATTTAAAGCACTTTTAAAAACAATTATTGTTGCCCTACTAGGCTCCTCTCAATATATGGGTTATCCCAATGGTGGAGCCAAGGGACCTAAAGCAGGTAAACCTTTTAATGTGCAGTGGGTATGGTGGTTATTTTTAATCAATTATTTGTTTGTTTGTTTTTTTGTTTTTTTTACATCTGATTTGAGTCTTATTTGTGATGTCTGCTTTAAAGGATATGGTGCTAAATCTGGACCTTCATCTGGACAAGTATCCAAGCCTAATGGTAAGTGATTTTAATGTAATCTGATTATTAATGTTATTATTAATGTAAGCTGAGGTAATTTAAGAACCTCTAAAGGATAAGTATATCATAATTTTGGTCCAGCTAAATAACCTAATAGAACTAATGTTTTAGATGTCATCCGCTCTAAAGTGTAGATAATAGTGAGTTCTAAATATTACATTGACTTTTTTTGTCTAATCAGGCTCCTCTCAATATATGGGGTATCCCAATGGTGGAACCAATGGACTTAAACCAGGTAAACTTTCAGGATGTGTGATGTTTAATATGTGTGTATCACTTCTTTTACAAATCATTTGATTTTTATTCTGTACTTTATTTGGTTCCAAGGATATGGAGCCAAAGCTAGAACCACGTACGGACAAGGAGCCAAGCCTCAGAATGGTAAATATTATGTAAATATTACTTATATGTATTTTCTGGCTCTGGAGTGAGCCACATTTGCAATTGTTTATTAAGGTTAAAACACTAAAGTTCTTTATTGTGAAGGACCTTTGAATTTGAGACTGTTTGTATTTAGGATTTGGAGGATATTCTAATGGAGGTGCCATAAATCAACCTAATACTGGTAATTTATTAGATGAAGCCAGTGCTGCATTTTAATTAATACAATGTATATAAATAATAAATTTTAAAAAGAATTGGAATTTTACTGATCTAAAGTATTTTTCTCAAATCAGGCTCATCTCAATACATTGGGTATCCCAATGGTGGATTCAAGGGTCCCTTAAATGGGCAAGGAGGCAGACCTTATAATGGTACACAGTATGGGATTTTTGCTATAATGAAACATAGTTTCTTTTTTAAATTATGGTTTTAGAAGCCACATTTAAATCCATCTAACTGCTTTATATATATATATATATATATATATATATATAATATATATATATATATATATATATATATATATTTTAGTGGCCATGAGAATGATGTAGATTGGACATTTGATAAAGGCAGTGATGGAAACAGTTCAAGTAGTTAGCTCTATGGTAGATAAGACAGGTATAGTAAAGTATATAGTATAATATATAAGCATTGTTGGCGAGTAGCTACATTATTCTGATGCATCTGGATATATTAGACTTGTTATTTGTTTGTTATATTATTTACTGGAGAAAATATTTATATATTATATATTTATATTGTATACATGATAATACAACATTAGGTTTGTTTTTAATAATATTCAGCAAAAAGAATAGAATTTATGAATGAAAGCTGGTTGAATATGAGTGGTGGGAAAGTAAGTTTTAGGTGTCATTTGTAAGTTCTGATTTTAGGCTTATAATACTGCAATACTAATTAAATCATTGTAAACAACAAAATTATTAATTATAAGGAAAGTTCTAAATTCTACTGTTGAACATTTTTGCCATATGGCAATACATCATAAAGTACCTTAAAAAATAGTTTCCAATTATTATTATTATTATTATTATTATTATTATTTTATTTTTATTTTTTTACAGCACTTCAAGTCACTTGAATATTTTTTTATAGATCTATTGTAATGCGTGCAGTAGAGGGTTATGTTGTGCCAATTGAACATATTTTGTCTGCAGAACTGGCATGCCTAAAGTTGAGTGAACAAAAAAAAAAAAATCTTTATTTCCTTTCGCTTTTTCTCTTGAACTCAACTTTTGGAAACATCAGTTGCACTGACCTAAAATGTCTGAAGTTGAGTGAACAAAAGTATAAATGCATACTTTTATTAGTATAAATTGGTACTAAGAAATAATATTTTATCAGAACAAACAAAGATAGTTCAGTTGAAAAACATAAATAATAAAAAAAACAAAGACAAATGTTAACAAAACATTACATAGAATTAGAAACAGGAAAGGAGGCAAAACAACAAACAAGAACAGAAGCTTTTTTGGGTGAACTTGCAAAGTTTTGCTCACAAAACAAATCTTTTTAGCTTAATGAAGAAAATTTAGATTTAGGTTAAGTAAACGTGTTAAATGTACAGATGTTTTTACAGATTTTTGCCAAACTACATAGGCATCTTGGTTAAAACAAGGCTAAGTTTGGGCTGTTTGTAAAAATTTAATAGAACTTAAACGCATATTAAAATTAAATACACATATTAGAAAGACTTTGCATGTGTAGTTATTCATTCTAGTCTATTTGACTTGGGGATGACAGGCTGATGTTTGGCTATCCTTAGACATCTATTAGATTTTTACTGACTGTCCAAATTTAGTCTAGTTTTAGCCAAGATATCTATTTTTAATTGTCTCTACATAGTCTTTTAAATAGATAAAGTGCTTATTGGGAAGCCACTGTGTTGACTGCATATTATTTTAATTTCTTATTTATGCAAATTCTAATCCCATTCAGAATAATATAATAATAAAATTGTTTCATTTTATGAATCTACTTTTAGATCCGGTTTTACTCAAATAAGCATGATCTAATGTAAACTTTTAACTGTCATATTAACTTTCTTGTGACCTACAGGTTACGGTGTTCCTGGATATACGTCAAAAGGACCTAAAGCAGCTAATTCAGGTAAAATTATAAGTGCATTTACTTCCTCCACATGACATGATTAGTGACATTTTGTAATCTGTCTTTGAGAAATGCATGTATTTCCCTGCGTTTACGTTTGTCATGTTGACTTCTCAGTTTTGTAATAAAATGGGTTTGTTTTCTAGGGTATATGCCTGTAATAACTGGAAATAAGGGTGCTTCAATTGGAAAGGGGCCAAAGGGGGAGATTTTAAGTGCTGAAGCACCAAGTCAAGCACCACTGTCCAACACAAAGGGTGTTCTACCAGTTGCTCAACAAGAACCAGTTACAGGATTACTTCCAAATCAGGGAACTAAAGGCCTTCCAGTTCTGCAACAAACAAAGGGACAAATTCTTCAAGCATCATTACCACAGAGTAAAACCCAAAACTCTATGGTACCTCAGTTTGCTTCAAACCCATTTATGCAGGGCCCTAGCTCTTACAAACCTAGTAAAATGTATAAACCACCAACATCTACAATTCCAATTGAAAAGCCAGAGATTCCAGTAATTCCTCAGTCAGTGCCTGCACCAGAATCTGCGTTCATTCCTCAAACATCACAGACAACTCCACTAGAGCAGGAGCAAGTCCTTTCATTGGAACAGAAAAGTCAAGTGACCGCACAACCAGTTACACAACAAGGCAGCATTTCTTCTCAGGCGGCTCAATCAACTCCAGTTTTGCAGCAAGCAGAAATACAGTCAAACCCTGCTTTGCCTCAGTTGAAGAATCCAACCACAACAAATCCTGGTAAATCTCTAAAGTTTCAGATTAAAATGTTACATGATCTCCTCTAACTGTATAGCAACTTGAAGTTGTTACAGCGTTTAACTTTCACTTTGTGCACAATCATTAAAAACAAAAAGGAAAAGTGAACCACCAGTAATGACTGCTTGTATGTGTCTGTAAATGCCCACTCAAATTATTCTAAAAACCTGGCCTTTTGTTTCACAACTATCATTTCAAAATTTGGAAGAGGTGGCTAATATCTGGATTTACTTATCTTTTGCTGTCAACTAGCATTAAACTCGGCTTCTTTTAACTGATCTCTTTTTGTGTTCCACAGAACTCACTGGTCTAGAACAACCTAATGGTCAGGTGCAGGGTGCTGTGCCGGCAAAGCCTGGTAAATCATAAATAGTACTCCAATTAGTTACATTAAAATACATCCCAGAGTAATTAGCAGTTCATCCATTTATCTGCTCTCTTGTAACTCTCTTGTTAATATTTTCTTAGACTGTGGACCTGAAGGACGACCTAATGGACAATGGGTCAAACTTACAAATCCTGGTGAGCTCTCGTTTATAAAATGCATTTTAAACAGCTTAAGGCTTAAAATACATTGTGATAATTTTTGTTAAGTCCATATATATTAGTTTTGACTTCAGAAAATTTAAGAAGACTAAGCCAAAATCAGCAGTCTAAAAATAATAGTGTTGTTTGCAGGGTTTGGGTATCCCAATGGAAAAGGAGAAGGGTTATCACAACCAGGTACAATAAAATATATTTAAATATTGTAGACTGCCTGACATAAGTCTTGTCGTCGATCCCAGTTGTAAGTGCAACAAATAACTTGACTTCTAGTTGATCTTTTGGAAAAGTGGCAGAAGGTAGATTTTTCAGATGAGTCATCTGTTGAACTACATCCCAATCATCACAAATACTGCAGAAGACATATTGGAACCCGCATGGACCCAAGGTTCTCCAAATAATTATTCAAGTATGAGGAAGGAAAAACCATGGTTTAGGTTACGTTTAGTGTGCGAGAGATCTGCAGAGTGGATGGCAACATCAACAGCATGAGGTATTAAGACATCTGTGCTTTCCATCACATTACAAACCACAAGAGAGGTCAAATTCTTCAGTAGGATATCGCTCCTCCTCATACTTCAGCCTAGACATCAATGTTCCTGAAAGCAAAGAAGGTCAAGGTACTCCAGGATTGGCCAGCCTAATTATTAGACATAAACATTATTGAACATGTCTGGGGTAAGAAGGACGAGGCATTAAAGATGAATCCAAAGAATATTGATTAATTTTAGGAGTCCTGCAAGAACACTTTCTTTGCCATTTTCATTCCACTTTATTTATAAGTTATTTGAGTCATTGCAGAGATGTATGGATGCAGTCCTCAAAGCTCATAGGTGTCATACACAATATTAATTCTTTTTCCACTGCAGCATGAATTTATGTTCTATACTGTTCATTATTTCTGTTAAGTGACAAGACTTTTGTCTAAGCAAAGTCAGACATTACTGTCCTAATAAAATAATAAAAAAATCAAGGCATGATCATATTTTGATTAAATAAGCGTAATCTAGAGGCCTTTGCTCTTCATATAACCCACTTCTGATACCAAATGATCAACTAGAAGTCAAGTTATTATTTGTTGTTCCTAAAACTTGATAGGCCACAAGACTTTTCTTAGGTATAGTTTATGTTTTTACCCAATAAACCACATTTTAACTTTAAATACAAAAATGTTATTAACCTATAAACAATACAGATAATACAGTATATATTTTTAATTGTTGTAAAAATGAATATTTTGTATGTTTATAATTCTGTCACTAGGCTTTGGAGCAGGAATTGGTGGTTATCCAACTCAGGGCATGAACAATGGCCACAAAGCAGGTAAATCATTACAGAACACATTGATTATTTAAAGTACATATGTTTAAAATGTATTAAACATTTTTAGTCCTTATTTTGCTGTCTCTACAGGATATGGAGGCTATGGAAACCAATTAAAAAACCACGGTAGAAATATTCCACTTCAGATTTTTCAAATAATCTAACAAAGAGATCAATTATGTATGCATTTATTAAATATTTAATCTGATGTACATATATATTGGCTGAAGTGCTACGGATATAATTCCAGGGCCTTATTTTGCAATATGTTACCTACAAAAATAAGAATAACACTTTATATAAATAAATAAATAATATTTATTTATTTATTTTTTATATATAAAGGTTTACAAAATATTTGTCCATGTTTTTTCTGCTTGTGCCTCAGACTGTATATGTTGTAAACTGCTTTAAATAGTGTGTGTAGTTTTTTGTGTGCTGTAAGTTTTTCGATAACACTTTATTTTGATGGTCCATTTCAGTATTAGTAGACAATCTGCTTTATATCTGTTGATATTGCTCTATCAACAGACATTTAACTGAATATTAGAGACTTTGCAAGTACTGTACATGTCAACTTACACTAACCCTAACCCCAATTTAACAGTCTATTTATAATCTAATGATAATTAGTTGGCAAGTACATGCAATGTAACTTAAATTCAACAAATGGACCATCAAAATAAAGTGTGACCAGGTTTTCTTTAAGACAACTAAATGTCTTTTCTGTTACTTTGATAGCTGGACTACAAGGTGGACCACCAGCACGATTGGGAACAAAGGGAAAATCTCAAACAAAATATGGTTAGTCTTAGGAGGAAAATGTAAAAATTTTAAAACTAATTATGTTGTTAACAATTGTTTGTCAACAATAACTTTTTTTATTTTTCTAATTTTGTCAGGAATTGGTGGACTTCCCTTTGGTGGTTCCCCCAGTGGATATCAGTCCAACCCCTACGGACAATATGGTATGTTATCAGTTTCTTACAATATTGCACTATGTAATGTAAGCATTGTCCCTGACAGTAGTTCTGACTGGATTAGTGGTGTGTTATTTTTCATAGGTAATGATGGTCAGCGATATGGAGCTAAACCCTACAATCCTAAAGCACCAGGAAAATACGGTGATGATTAGATGTTTTAATGTTCCTTTGCGCTTTTTAATAATTGTTCGAGTGCCTTCATAGAATATCAGGCAGTGTATAGCATTGCTTATGGTAAATGAAGTTAGCAGATTGTTATGAAATAATTTGTTTTGCTGTCATGTACACTTTGTACAGTGGGTAGGGAAAATATCCAGACCCCCTTACATTTTTCTGTCTGTGTTATATTGTTGCTATTTGTTAAAATCCTTTAAGTTCTTTTGTTTTAAACACAGAATTGTTGACATTTTTGCAGATTTATCAACAAAGAGAAACTGATTTCACTTGGTCCTAAGCATTCAGACCCTTTGCTCAGTAATTTGTTGAACACAATTTTGATTTAATGCAGTCATGAGTCTTTTTGATGTAGATGCAACAAGTTTTTCACATCTGGATTTAGGGATCCTCTGCCATTCCTCCATGCAGATCCTCTCCATTTTGTTAGATTGGGTGATAAACGTTGGTGGACAGCCATTTTTAGGTCTCTCCAGATATGCTCAATTGGATTTAGTTCAGGGTTCTAGCTGGGCCATTCAAGAAAAATCAAAGAGTTTTTGTGAAGCCCCTCTTTTGTTATTTTAGCTGTGTGCTTAGGGTTATTGTCAGAAGGTAAACCTTTAACCCAGTCTGAGGTCCTGAGCACTTTAGAGAAGATTTTTGTCCAGGATATCTCTACTTGGCCTCAGTCATCTTTCCCTCAATTGCAACTAATCGTCCAGTCCCTGCAGCTGAAAACACCCTCACAGCATGATGCTGCCACCACCTGCTTCACTGTTAAGACAGGTGATGAGCAGTGCCTGGTTTTCTCCACCCATACTATTTAGAAATTAGGCCAAAGAGTTCTATCTTGGTTCCAGAGAATCTATTTTCTCACCATCTTGGGGTCCTTCAGGTTTTTTTTAGCGAACGCCATGCAGTTTTTTTTGTGGCAAGCCACGTTGCCATTAAGCCCAGACTGGTGGAGGGCCATGTTATCATGTCCATGTTGTTTGTTTAACCTAATGATTTTATTTTCTTATGTCAAAACAGGATATGGTAGTTTACCATACAACTCTCAGGCTTTTCCAGAATCAGTTGCCAGATCACCTGGTAAATATAGTTAAGATATATCTTTGATCAAAGAGTGTATTTTGTTTTTGAAGATTTTTTTTTTATTTATTTAATTATGAGCTTCTGTATTTTCAGATTTTGGAGGGTTTCCCTACAATGGCCAGCCACTTGGATATGGCAGTGGCAAATCCACTGGCAAATATGGTGAATGTTTTTTTCTTTTAACTTTTAAAAAGACGATGTTTTTTGATTGGCTTCATTAAACATGGACCTTCAGCATGCACTTGGGCAATTTGCTGCTGAGTGTGATGCAGCTGGGAGAATCAGTGGGAGAAAAGTCCTTACTCCAAGTGGAGGAGTTCAAGTACCTTGGGGTTTTTTCACAAGTGAGGGAAGGATAGAACATGAGATTTACAGGTGGATCAGTGCAGCGGCATCTGTAATGCGGTCAATGTACCGGTCTGTTGTGGTAAAGAAGAAGCTGAGCCGAAAGGTAAAGCTCTCGATTTACCTGTGTATTTACGTTCCTACTTTCACCTATGGTCATGAGCTTTGGCTCATGACTGAAAAGACAAAATCTTGGATACTTGGCCGAAATGACTTTCCTTCGCTTATAGATAGGATAAGGAGCTCTGTCACACGGGAGGAACTTGGAGTAGAGCCGCTGCTCCTCCACATTGAGAGAAGCCAGCTGAGGTGGCTTGGGCATCTGTTTCAAATGCCTTCTGGATGCCCACCTAGGGAGGTGTTTCAGGCAGGTTCTCCTGGGAGGAGGCCTTGGGGAAGACCCAGGACACTCTGGAGTGACTAGAGTACGTCTCTAGGCTGGCCTGGGAACGACTCGGGATTCCCCCGGAGGAGCTGGAGGAAGTGTCTGGGATGAGGGTAGTCTGGGGTTCTCTCCTGAGACTGCTGCCCCTACGACGCAGCCCTGGAAAAGCAGATGAAAATTAAAGAATGAAAGCATGAATGAATTAATAACTTTTTTGATTTAAAGTGAATGTCTTTTACTGTCATTTTTTTCAGGACAAAAGGGTCCTCAATATGGTGGTCAGTCCCTTGGTCACGGGCCTGATGCAATTTCTGGAAAATACGGTGACAACAAATGCTTTTTATAGATGATCATATGACAATGATATTATAATATTATTGTACTAATACTTATTCTCATACTCTCCACACCTTTCAGGGTCTCCTGAATCCTTGTACACACCAGAAACGGTCAATCTTGGAGGCAATGCCAAATCAACTAAATATGGTATGACAGTTTCTTTTTCATATCTTTTCTTTTAATTTATTTAGGTTTTGGTTTAAATTACAATTCCTCTGTATGTGAATTGTGGCTAACATCATACAGTTAGGCTAATGAAACAGTCAAACTGAGTTACTGGAGAGGCTGAGGCTCTGCACAGTTTAGTTCCAACCCTAATTAAACACACCTGATCAAACTGATTGAGTCCTTCTAGCTTGTTTGAATCCTACAGGTAATGCCGCAGTCACACTAAAGTTTGAGCTTGCGAAATTCTGTCTTACGGTGCTGCAAAAAGGGGCAGGGTTAAACAAGATGATTAGGCACTTAAAGTGAACAATTGGTCCAGATTTTAAGTTTCGGCCCGGTGAGGTTAGATTTTGATCCTTGATTGGTCTCACGCAGGCAAGTGAGGGGATTTCGCAGGTCAGGGTTCAACAAGCTTGCAGCCCTCCAGGAACTGAGTTTGACACCCCTGGCCTAATTAGAGAGCATTCACTATTTTGTACTTTCTCAACGTAAAATTAATGTAACAGTATTTAATGCATGACAGGTAATCCAGCAGTATCATATGAACTCCTCGGCCCTGTGACTGATGGCCAATCTGTTGAAGGTAAATACATGTCTATTTACCTGACAAGCCATGCTGTGTTGTGAACAGCCATGACTGCGTTCACAATACAGATGGCCTTAAGAACATAATTGGTTTTACATTATTGTACTCATATACACTGTGTGCCTCTGCATGCATTTTACATGGTTTAAGACTTTGTGGCTAAGTTACTGTTGTTCCCAATTGCTTTCAACTTGTAATAACAGTAAATTGTCAAGTTGTAATAACAAAACAGCTGACCATGGAATATTTAGTAGTGAGGAAATTTCACAAATGGACTTAGAGCATAGGGTGCAACCTATTATGTTACATAAAGAATTCATTGAGCCCCTGAGAGTGACCCATTCTTTAAAGGGCCATGAACTGTTGTACAACCGTTTAAAAAGACATTGAACAAAGCATTTTCAGTCCATTATATTGTAGTAATATTACTGTAAACTTAGTAACTTAGTAACTTCAGTCATTTCACAAAGTAATGTCTTAAAAAAACTGAAAGTACTGCTGATGATACTAACTTTGCCATCTGGAGAAACATAAATAACGAACATTGATTGCAAATGCGTAGAGACAGGACAATCAACTTAAATTGGAACCGTGTCTTTTTATTTTAAAGGAGACGAGAGGCAAATTTCCAGATTCTAAAAGCTCTCGGAAAAAAAATGTTCGTTACAATCACATAGTTCCTTACAAACGTAAGAGCTGTGCCCTTGTCACGAGGAAATGGAAACAAAACCTTCATTGCAACACATTTATAAACTCAACACTCCCGAGTGCCGACCCATGTCTTCGAACAATTCTTCTTCTTCGTCTTTGAAGCTATCATGCATATTAATGAAGTTGCATCCCATTCACAATAGAGTGCGCTGATTGGTTCGAACCAAGTTTTTCTCTTGAATTCATACTCAAAAATCAATGACGTCACTTTGTAAAGGCCGGTACAGACATCTATTCTCCACGCTGGAATCTACACAATAATCTCATTGCTGTGAGCCAGCTTCAAAAATGTATTTTTAAATCAGAAGAATGAATTTGCTCAAAACAACGCAAAAACAACCAATTTTCACTTATTAGTGAAATATATGTGTCCTAATAATGTTTTTAGCAACATGTGACATGTACATGCTTGTCGACATCTCATGTGTTTTGTTGTTTCGTGACCCTTTAACAAATGTTCGTAGAGACAGTCTGTCTGCCTAGGGCCCTAAAGGGATAGTTCACCCCAAAATCAAAATGTACTTACTATTTTCTTATCCTCAAAGGGTTCTAAACTTTATGAATTTCTCTATGAGATTCTATTGAATAAAAATGACAAAATAAGATGGCAATACAAAAAACCACTCAAGTCAATGGTTACAGTTTTGCAGTTTTCTTAAAAACATAATCTTTTGTGTTCAGCAGAAGAAAGAACCTAAATAGATTTTTCATTTTGGGGTGAACTATTCTTTTAATTTTAAATATCTGTGGACGAGGAAGTAATTGGAACACCTGAATTCAATTGTGTCCTCAAACTCCCAATATAATGTACATCTGTTTATTTCTCAGTATCAGAAAACATTTATTTCCTGTTTTAAGTTGAATCCAGATTTAGTTGCAGCAGTGTTCAACTAGAGGAGGTGCCAATAAAGTTTAATTTGATAAACATATGATAAACATATGATTCAGTACTAAAAAAATGTTTAGTTTTTTTAAAAAATGGTTCACACATCAGTTTATCTCCACTGTAAGGTGAAACTTTATTGACCCAGTTAGGGAAATTTGTCTTGGACTCTTGCGCTCAGTTGCAGTCATCAACTACATAGTAAATACAAGCATAAAAAAAACAGATGAGTTTATAAATAAATTAATCTATACCCCTACCCCAAAACGTTACATACCCTGATTCTTGTGTATATATGGAGGTGGGTATCTTCCGTATATTCCATATCCGTTTTCCAAACAAAAAAAGGAAAACTAAGAAAACGCCCATTTTTTTTTTCTTTTTTTTTTTTTTTTTTTTTTGCTCACAAAAAAAAACTAACAAAAACAATATTTTGGCTGGATTTTCATTTTTTGGTTTAGGGTAGGAAAACAGATAAACGACTTTAAAATTCATTATACACATGTAGTTCTGAAACACCCATTTTCCTCTGATTGGTCAACCAAATCTGAGCTTGTGATGTCACCCTCAAAAAAATAAGTTCTCTGCAAATCAGCACTCAGGCTTTTAATTATTATTTTTTAATTATATATATATATATATATATATATATATATATATATATGTATGTATGTATATTAGCGCTGTCAAAATTAGTGCGATAACTATTGCGATTAATTTTAAATAATTAACGCGTTAAAAAAATTAACTCAATTAACGCAGTTGCAGTTTTTTTTAACTTCCTTTTGTGGTGGACGTGTGTTTAACATGCAAGAAATGTGTATAAGACCAAGAAAGCACTTTTTGAAGACAAGTTTCAGTATAAAACAATTAGTCGCATCACAGGTTATCCAGAGTTTCATGCAATTTCGGGTGTTTCATTTCTAACTTTCGACTTCTGTTGTAAGTTGATACCGCATGGCGAACAGAAAGAAAATCCTCTGCATTTCGTGACTCGGTGTTCCTTTAAGGTAATAAAATCACCAAAAAATAAAAATCAAGGTAAATAAAATGCTTAGGGTACACGGTAGTATTTTAATAAGAGTATAATCTTAGTCATATTAAAATCGGAGTATTGGTGTCTTATGTACACACACACACACATATAAACTAAGTTTACATATTCTGTCATTTGATCAGTTAGCAGGCTTAAATTTGTAAGGTCCACCCAGTTGGCCCAATGCCGGTGTCCACTGGTGGATGAAGAATTAATGCCTGTTCGTTCTTTCCAGTGCACAATGTTGATTTATATTAAATTAGCTCATATCTGACTCCTATTTTAATATGAGGTGGTTTAGAATATTAATATATTTATCCTTGTTTTATCTGACTCCAATCATAAAACATTAAGAAGATTATATCGATATGTAATTTAGATAAATGTTTGAACCTTTTGTCTTCACTAGTAACTATTACATTCGTTCATTCGGGTGCTCATGTCGCTCAGAGAAATCGCCCCGGCTGAAGGCGTCCCTCACGGTCACACTCCGGTCAGTCTTGAATATTAAACAGAGGTAATTGACTAATACTTTAGATGGCCGCTACCAGCGCGCTCGTTCTAAAATACTTTAATTAGTCCCGTTTAGGTGTACACCTTTGAGTTAAGACAATCATCATTTCTAATTAGAGGTTAGGGCATTAATATAAATGTACCCGACTACTGGACTCTATAGTAACTTTGGTTCTCACCAAGCCCATGGTTTCCCATATGAACTTAATTTAGAATAATATTACCTTCAAACAAAGGTCGGGTACCCAATCTAGGTTAGTCGTGCAACACCTTGTTGACCTAGACGGAAGTTATCGCCCTTTCCACCTAAGTACACATGAAACAATATCAAGAGTCAGCCGGATCCCTAAAACACAATTAGTGTGCCCAATGCTCCATCTCAACTGGATTTTAGTCCGTCTACTGACCTGACGCAAGACGTGCGGAAACAAGGATACAGCGTAATCTACTTGAATTAATAATTACAGAGTGAGCAAAATATGGTCAAACATTACAATTTATTAGTCAGGTAAATGTATTATGCCAATTCAATCAGTCAATTCATAAATGATCAATACAAAACATCAAATTATCAAAGATAAATCCAAGATGAAAAGATACATACCTGACCTTTTACATAACGTGTAAATTTTACATAACGTGGAGCCTAGGCTCCATGTTATGGGCTGATCTGGGTAGGCAGAATCGCCCTGAGCCTTTCTCAAACCTTAAATAATCCAAGAATTCCCTCAAGGAAGGGGGTGTGTGTATAACAAAAGAGCTTTCACACTTGGTGCTGCCTGTGGAAAGTCACACTTTTCACAGTGGTTCAAAAGATGCCTGAAGTTATATATTTATTGTTTTGATTATGTCTATTTCTGAGAGAATGAGACCATTGTACCAATCGTACTGAGACATTTCAAATGATATCAAACATGATAGTTAAAGTCAGTTTGGTTAATCTAGAACATTCAAACATTGAAATGACCATATGCGTGAGATGGGGGGGATGAAGCTGAGTTTCAGCATACTCAGATGCAAATGCAGCAGGAACTGGTTTTTCCCGCATTCCCCCCTGCTCGGTTGTGGAGTCAATTGGCCCTGTTTTCAGCTCATTTTTTGAATTGTCAAAGATATCAAAAATATTTGTAATATTTCAATTCTTACAAATTCATTGCGTAAGCATAAATTAAATAAAAAAATGTAAATTAGCAGTATTATTACACATTTCTCATTAAAATAAGGTCTTAGTTTGCTGCAAAACTTCCTGCTGCTGTGCACCTGATGCTGAGCAAATATAACTATTATTGAGCAGCACCTGGTTTGAATGATCGTTTCAGAGCTACTGTAGGCCTAAATAATAATAATAAGCTAATAATAATAATAATTTTTATTTAGTGTTTTTTTTAATTATTATTATTTTTTTATTGTTTAGCTTTATTTTTTTAATAGTTGTTTGCAGGACCAGAATAAGTACACATTGGGCTCATGGCCTATAACAAAAGGTACCATTTGTTTTTATTTTATTTCTTCCTATTTTAACCATCCTTCCATCCTTTCTTCCTTCCTCATTTTGAGGGTGGTGTCACAAGCTCAGATTTGGTTGACCAATTAGAGGAAAATGGGTGTTTCAGCACCCCTTACATGAACATAATGAATTTTAAAGTCGTTTATCCATTTTCCTGCTGTAAACGAAAATCAATTGAAAATGGATCTGGAATGGACAGAAGATACTCTGATTTCTACTATTTAATAGCTTAATGCATTTTTTTTATATATCTAATTAATCTACAGTAAGGTACTCTAAACCTTTTTCCCAGAGGTAACAACTTATTATGCAGAGCATTGACAAGTCACAAACAATTTGAATAGCATGTCTTAATGTGTCTTGTTTATGAATATGCTACAGTGACATCTGTTCTGATACGCCAATAATTTTCCAAGCAGTGTGAATCAAACAGACTTACTTTAGTTATCCGCTGCACAGACAAGTTGCCAAACCAGGCTGTGATGCCATTTATTATAAAGCTCTCAAAAACTGCTTGATAAAATATGATCATACATTTTTGATCCACTCCATGAATTCTCAGGCATTGTAAAAAAATAAACTTGTTGCTGAAGTTTACTGCAGAGATTGTTTGCATGTATATTCAATTTCACTGAATTATTAAAGCTATTTATATGAGGTGACCTGTGATTGTGAATCTGTGTGAATCTGTGATTGTTTGATTATTCATGGTCACAGGCCAATGATCACCAACTCCTCTAGGGTCAAACACTGTCTCCTTTGTCTTACTGACATTCAAAGCTAGAATGTTACCAGCACACCAACTCGCAAATCTTCCAATCTCTGAAATTTATTCGGATAAATCTCTGTTCTTATTCAATAAGCATAAGATAGCAGTATCATCTGATAATTTAATAATGTAATTATTAAGTTATGTTTGCATGCATCTTTATACTAAGTGAACAAAACCGGTGAGCTAACACAGCCCCGCAGAGCTCTCGTGCTTAGACATTTTGGCTCAGATAGTGTTCCATCAACACTAACCTGCTGTCTATGATTGATTGAAAAAGAATAACAGAAAATGTAAGAACTTCCTTGGATGAAAGAGACCACTTGTTTTGCTGTGATTTTGCTTGTTGTTTATTGATTGTTGCTTTTATCAATGAAACAGAAAACAGAAGCATTGAGACTCTGCACCAAGGTCCTGAGATTGATGGACAAAAAGCTGTTGACAACTTTGGTAAGTATTCTAAGCTCTTTCAGATAGGGGTAACACTTTGGAATAACTATCCGTTATAAAAAGTGAATAGTCCATTAATAGTGCTAATGGGTTATAAATGACTTGTTAAATAAAAATTGTTAGTTTGTTAATTATTTATAACCGTGCCTTATAGATAGCAATATATAACATACAAGCTGTTAGTTAACAAGTTATAGATGATTTGTTAACTGTATTTTAGTGATTTATAGACAAATACCATTTTAATGATTTATACCAAATAAATTAATAATAGATCATGAACAAGCTGTTAATAAATTACCAGTTAAAGTATCAGTTGATAGTTTTTGTATGTTATGGGTATGTTATTCTAAAGTTGCAACTGTTCTTTATTTATTGACAGTTAGTAAATGAGGAATAGTTGCAACTTAAGAATAACGTCCCAGTATCATAGATAAGCTTCTAACTAACACTTTACTAATGTATTACCTCACACTTTACAGATCAGTTGTTCATCGTTTCTTTACCATCTAATAACACCAGTGAAACTTTTGTAGAACTTTTCTAATAAAATAATTTTTTTCTTTTTTTGTTTTTATATTTAGCACAAAAAGTGCCCAAACCCCATGGGTTTATTTTCTGTTGTATATATATATATATATTGGCTCAGTATGTGTATTTCTATACATTAAACACAACGTTTAACATTTTCATCTGTGGAGTTTCTGTGGTAAAATTCAGCACACTAAAAGGCCTATGAGTGGAACAAGGTTAAGGTACAAAAAGTTTACACTTTAAACATCACATCAAATTTCTGTAGCTTGAACTTCCACTGTAGCTTGTTCCATCCATTTGATGTTCTACTAAGTTTCACTGGTATTAGTAGATGGTAAACAAACTAAGAAACAACTGATCTGTAAAGTGTGAGTTAATATATTAGTTAAGTGTTAGTTATAAGCTTGTGTATGTTATTGGGACGTTATTCTAAAGTTGCAACTATTCCTCATTTATTAACAGTTGATAAAGAATAGTTGCAACTTTACAATAACGTCCCATACATAAACTATTAACTGATACTTTATTACTAACTGATACTTAACAAGTCTTTAAGTAATTTACTAACAGCTTGTTTATGATCTGTTATTAATTTATTTGGTATAGCTATAAATCATTAAAATACGTTTACAAGTTACATTTATAACTTGTTAGCTAACAGCTTGTAAGTTATCTATTGGCTAACTATAAGGTACAGTTATAAAAAATTAACAAACTAACAACTTTTATTTAACAAGTCATTTATAATCCATAAACTAACACTTTAATAATGGACTATTAAATAGTTATAACGGATAGTTATTCCAAAGTGTTACCGAAGCGGATTTTGGTGAGGATGGTGAAGTTCACAGATATCCAGTTTTCATGTGTTTCTTAAGACCACTCTTTACACGTTACGCCTTTCTGTTGAATGAAACAAGAAGAAAAAACATTAAAGTATTGGCATTTCACTTGCAATCATATGTGAGAGGTTTTTGTATTACAATCAGTTTAGCTTTTCCTTATTACTCATAAAAATGTAATCTGTAAATTCTAACCGCTTTTAGACGATTTAGCCTTGCAGGAAGCCATGAAGCATTAGGATCCATACACATCATCCTGTTCTCCGCATCAACAAACCTGTAAATATAGAGTTGAATGCATTTAGAGCACTTACAGCATATTATTGACAGAGAATTCATAAGCAAATATATTTTAGACTTACAGCACACACTGAAGACAATTGCCTTTTTTTGAAAGGTTGTAACAACTTGTAATATTTTTCCTTGGTTCTACTGTTGTCAGCACCTGGAAGCAAAGACTGGGTCTAGCATCAACTGCAAAAGAGACAGAAAACCTTCAGTTGCATTAACAGCGAGGCAGATTAAAGATATTGTAAAATTAGTTTAATTTAGATTTGAAAAAGACTGTCATTAACAAAACAATAGCACTGGAATCACTTTAGGAAGAATGATGTAGAATTATTAAAAAAACAATAGCACTGGAATCAGACTGATGTAGAATATTATTGCATCTGAATTATAAGCCTTCTTGCATATTTTTTCCCCCAATTTTTGTTTGACAAAAATAAGTTTTTTTTAACATATTTCTTAAAAAAATAATTTTAATAACTCATTTGTAGTAACTGATTACCTTGCCACGATGGCAGTACATAAGAATTTACAAGATATTGGAGGTCTGCAGCAGGACCCACCCAGATTTTTTATATTACAGGTATACATTTCTAAATAAAACACGGTAGCTGTCTGTAACTCTGGTGTAATTTGAATTAGAGTAAGCAGGCTAACTATATAGCATTCTCGAGTCCCGACGTTATTTGTGATTTCTTCAGTCTTATTGAGCATTGGTACAGCCATTGCTCGCAACTGATAGACATGCTGAACGCATGACCAGTGCTTTCTGTACTTTCGCTTGTATTAGAAAATTGTCAGTTTACTGTTAGGAAACCCAGATCAGGCTGATAATATTGAACTTAAATGGTGTTTAAAAAATTAGAAACTGCTTTCATTTTTTCTGAAATATAACAAATAAGACTTTCACCAGAAGAAATAATATTATAGGAAATACTGATATAGTTGATATAGTGATGTGTTGATAGTGATCATAATTATCATCGTTCTTACCATTCTTGTTGGGACTGCTTGTATCCTGAATACGGTCTGACTCTGGAATAAAAACTGTTAAAATTGAGTATGTGAGAACCAATGGTGTAAAGTAACAAATTACAAATACTCAAATGACTTTAATTGAGTCGTTTTTCTCAGAAATTGTAATTTACTAAGTAGTTTTATAAATGTGTACTTTTGATTGTGTAGTATCAGTACTTTTACTCTATTACTTTCCTTTAACCTTCAGTCACTACTTTATTTTTTTTTCAGTTCTGTGATTTCTGTCCAATCAAATCACACATACAAAGTAAATCACAACATACTGAACTACCTAAAGACATGGGAGATTTATAAATGCAGTCAACTGTTTGGAAGTATTGAAATTGTCCAAGAAAATGTCCAAAATCTTTACACACAATGACCCAGAGTCTGCTTAGACTGCCACTGATGGCACTGATGGGAAGATGATGGATGTTTACTGTAGCACATCATAATTTTGTCAAGTACGATGCGATCCTTAACATCTATGTTGATCCTGGAACATAATTTTTGTTTGAAAATGTAATCCATACTTATTCCCTACCCAATAACTGTAAACTATTTCCAAAATCAGAGGGGAATGTTATTTGGATTTTTTTATATTATTATTTTGTGCGTAAACCTAACCATACACGCAAACCTAATATAAACGATAAACATATCCTTTAATTCTGATTGACTGATTGAAACGTTTTTTCAGGATCAAGGTAGATGTTAATCCAGAAATATGACCTACTTGGTCAAATCAGGTTGGTTGTTTAACTGTATGATGACCGAAACGGCCTTAAACAATAACTGAATGCACTACAGAATGTTACGTTTACACACACACCAACAAAGTACATGTAAACGCATCAGCTTTTCACAGTGTAATACACGCTACTCTTGAGTACTTTTTAAGCAGAACAGTATTTATTCAAAACAGTAAAAGAATACTCACCTCCTGATGTAAAAACACACAGGAGCAAAAGCAAACCGGACGAAACGATCATTTGATGAGATGCTGAGGACAGACGCATGATTGCTGAAGGATTTCACGAATGATCTGCTGCTTCTGAGCTGCTGCTGCTTTTTATGTGCTTAGAAGAATGAGTTGTCTTTGTTCATACTTCATGAGAATTAGGTGAATAGAATAACCGCAGTGAATCATTTTGTGAGGCATCTCTATATTTTAAATACAATTCATTACTCCATAGTCAAAGATGAACGTGCAATATATGACAAATCAAATAATGACAGGATGGATTTGCAGACATAACAAATTATAGGGTGTCTCTCAAATTCGTCTTTATGCGAGCTTCAGGTTGAAACATGTGAAAGAAATAAAGGAATGATGGACTGTTTGAATATCATAGGCTGTACAGTATGACACAGGTTTTTCCAAAGTAAAAGGGAGTTTTTTGTGTTTTGTCTGGTGTGATATTAAGCCACAACTTAATTCCTTTGTGCAATCTGTTTAAAAGGAAGACAGGATGCGCAGGCTTTAGGCTCGCCTGTTCTTGTTGTATTGAAAAAAGTGACAGTATGTACAGTACATCCGGAAAGTATTCATAGCACTTCACTTTTTCCACATTTCTTTGTTACAGCCTTATTCCAAAATGGAGAAAATTCATTTATTTCCTCAATTCTACACACAAAACCCCATAATGACAATGTAAAAAAAAAATTTTTGGAAATTGTTGCAAATTTGTAATGTATAAATATCATTATAACTATATTGTATAAATGTTATTATAATATTACTATAGGCCTACATCTTCCTGATATTCAAAAACACAAAATGACATGATATCACAGGCGATTGTCTTCTGACCGAGTGCACCTGAGAAGACATGAATGACACTCCTCAGAGCCTGAGAAGCCTACAGTTCTTCAGGAGCTATATAATTTGTAAAATATGAATTTCAGTTTAAAGAAAAAGGAATAAAAAATGTATATCTAGATCGATAGGTAACTAGATAGAATAGACAGAGGTAGATTGATCTGTGCAGCAGCTTGCTATGAGATGTAGATGCAGATTTAATTTTAATTTTTTTTATTTGCTTGTTTATTTTACAGGGACATTACACTTGACATTGTTATATAAAGATAACCGATGTTGCATACATAGGGCATGTAGCGTAAAGCTAATTTGCAGCCCTCGTCCCTGGTTAGGCTTTACATAAAAAAAACAGTCAAGAATAAAACACAATACCGCAAAAATGTACAATATATACAGAGACACAAACATAAAATGCAAGTCAATCTGCATAAAGAAATGTAAACGGGACAAACCTGAAAGAATAATACTTATTGTTCACATTGCTGTAAAGATTTCAACCGTCCTTTCAGCTTTACAGTAAAAAAACTGGGAGTTCTGATTGTAACTTTAAATGAGCCGGCATGGCATTTCATAGATGTGAACCTTTTACTGAAAAAGGTGACTGACCCACAGCGGTTCTGCATCTGCAGATTCTACAATTCCCTGTTACTGCTCCTCTAGTCTTCGCCCCATCACTACTGAATTTATGTATCACCTCACAGACTACTTTAGGGGCAAGACCATGTATAAACTTAAACATAGTTTTTTAAAGTTTTCTTTTTTTTTTTTAAACTATCAAAACTTAACAAATTATCTTGGTAACACTTTAAAATATATATATGTTATAACTAGTAAGTAGACAATTAATAAACTGTTAGTTAATAAATTATTAATGGCTTGTTAAATAATAGTTAATAGTCTGTTAATTATTTATAACTATGCCTTATAGATAGCCAATAGATAACTTACAAGCTGTTAGCTAACAAGTTGTAAATGACATGTTGTCTACATTTTTATGATTTAACTATATGCATAATAAATTAGTAATAGATCATAAATAAGCGGTTAGTAAACTACTTACTAAAGGCTTGTTAAGTATCAGTCAGTAGTTTATATGTTATTGGGATGTTATTCTAAAGTTGCAACTATTCTTCATTTATTAACTGTTGGTAAATAAGGAATAGTTACAATTTTAGAATAACGTCCCAATAACATACATAAGCTAATAACTAACACTTAACTGATATATTAACTCACACTTTACAGATCAGTTGCTCATAGTTTAACCATCTGCTAATGGCAGTGAAACTTTGTAGAACAGCAAATGGAACAAGTTCAAGCTACAGAAATTTAATATGATATTTAAAATATAAACTTTTTGTATATTAACCTTGTTCCACTCATAGGCTTTTCTGTGTTCTGTAATTTACCAAAGAAACTCCACAGATGAAAATGTTAAACATTGTGTTTAATGTATAAAAACACACATACTGAGTCATCACATGGCAGAACAGCAGTATAAAACAGAAAATAAACCCATGAGGTTTGGGCACTTTTTGTGCTAAACATGAAAACAAAATAAGTAAAAAAAAATCTTTTATTAGAAAGGTTCTACAAAAGTTTCACTGGTGTAAGATGGCAAACAAACGATCAACAACTGATCTGTAAAGTGAGTTACTATATTACTTTAGGTTTAGCTATTAGCTTTTGTATGTTATTGGGACGTTATTCTAACATTACTATTCGTCATTTACTAACATTTAATAAATGAAGAATAGTTGCAACTTTAAAATAACATCCCAATAACATACATAAACTATTAACTGATACTTAAGTTTTTAGTAATTTACTAACAGCTTGTTCATTCTTACTAATTTATTTTGTATAGTTATAAATCATTAAAATACATTTAACAAGTCATTTAGAACTTGTTAACTAACAGCGTCTAAGTTATATATTGGCTATCTATAAGGCACAATTACTAATAATTAACAAATTATTAACTTTTATTTAACAAGTCATTTATAACTCATTAACTAAGAGTTTATAAATGGACTTAACTAGTTATAACAGATAGTTATTCTAAAGTGTTACCAGCACATTTAAATATCATTAACTTTAAATATAACTATTATTATCATATAACTGTTATATACATATTTAACTTTTAACTAAATAGCACCAGTTAATAACATTGGTTATAACATTGTAACATTGAATATTATAACCAAGTATTTTACCTGTGCTTCAATGTGATTTTTAAAAGGGCATTATATTTTCTAAAATGCACCCACATGTAATTCAAAAGTTCAAACTTAGATCATGCTTAATGACATCATGAGGTTTGGCATGCTGTCCTGGGAAAGAACCCTGAGCTCGGAGATAGATGAGCCCAAGGCTTCTGCCTGGTAAATGAGCATATAAAGGGATACGAGATCAGGTAGATCTCGAGAGCTCCCTTGATTTGTTTGAACTATTCCTTAATTAAATCACAGCCCTAATAGGAATAGACCATGTACCGCACCAGTGCATACTCACGCAGAGAAGCTTGGTATTAAAGTGCTTGTGACTGTTAATATTATTTAATTCACTTACAGTCAGAATTATTAGCCCCCAGAATTATTATCCCCCTGTTATTTTTTTCTTTCCTGTTTAAAGGAGAGATTTTTTTCAACACATTTCTAAACGTAATAGTTTTAATAACTCATCTCTAATAACTGATTTCTTTTCTCTTTGCCATGATGACAGTAAATAATATTTTACTAGATATTTTTCAAGACACTTCTATACAGCTTAAAGTGACATTTAAAGGCTTAGCAAGGTGAATTAAGTTAAATAGACAGGTAAGGGTATTTAGGCAAGTTACTGTATAATGATGGTTTGTTCTGTAGACTATCGAAGAAAAAAAATAGCTTAAAGGGGCTAATACCTTTGACCTTAAAATGGTGTTTAAAGAATTAAAAACTGCTTTTATTCTAGCCAAAATAAAACAAATAAGACTTTAATATTTTAAAAATATTTTATGACAGCCTGTGAGAATTTCATTGCTCTCTTAATCAGCATTTGGGAAATATGTAAAAAAGTTTTAAAAAATCAAAAGGGGGCTAATAATTCTGACTTCAACTGTATGTCTCATGTCTTGGAACTGTGGGAGGGAGAAAGGGTGGATGAGAAGTTTTCCAAAATTAATATAGGGAGGAAAGTTTGGCTGGATATTTATGTTCAATTTGGAATAATCTGATTGGCTAGCTAATGATTACTGATAGGGGACCAGCTGCGATCAATCATATCGCTTGCACCTCTTGAAATTAGTTTGTGAAACTTAACTTGTGACTTGGTTAAACTTAAGTGTATTCTAATTGAATCAAATGATTTTTGTTCAGCCAAATATGAAATCCATTTACTCACCCTAAACTTTTTACAAACCGTTATTGGTTATTTCTTTTGTTGAACACGAAAGTAGAAACTTTTGAGAGAGCGAAAAGTTGAAAATAAACAGGTTTGACAAAAAAAAAATTAAAAAATAGACAAACTCAAAGATCTCTGTGTTTGTCCTTGTGTTTGTTCTCGATTCAGGAGATGGAGAGATTCCACCCCATCCTGATGTTCCAGGAGCAGGAGAGGCGAATGCACAATCCACAGAAAAATATGGTACAAAAACAAAAATATTTGTTGTTGAAATGTGTATCTACTGTATTTGCATGCAGTGTCTGACTATTTCTCTCAATATTCCTCTCCTTAAGGAACTGAGGATTATAATGCTGGAAAACCACAACCAGAAGGTAATTTTCAAAACTCTGATGTATGTGTGAATGTTGTACATGCAGTGTTTATAAATTTTAAGTTAATTATAACTTTGCACAGACTTGATATTTGATATAACTGTAGTATTTTTCAGGTTCAGATTACTCAAGTCAATCACAATACTATAGACATTTATTATAAATTAAAATAAAACTTGATTCATATCTGTTCAGACAATTTGTGAGAGTTCAGAATTAAAGTTAGTGATTACAAAACATCAATGTGATGCTGTGTAAGCCCAACAGTAAATGGACAAATGAACCCATTTTTCAATTCCAAATTAATCAAAACATCATTTTTCTTCCTTGTCTGTCCAATAGCTGTTTCCTTCCCTGCTGTTCCAACTGTGGGCCCTGCTGTCACCTCATTAGACACCACTCTCTCGCTGGACGGTTCCTCTCCGGTTCCAGTCTCTGTACCTGATGCTGTTCATGAGGTGCCTGTGTCCCCCATACTCCCTCAGCCTGACCTCCCCACTCTAATGCTGCAACCAGCACCACCACAACAGATCCAAATACAGCAGCACCTCAAGCTTCATTTTCAACCCCACAGCAACTCCCAGACAGGTAAACTACTAATAAACACTTGTGATCCTAAATTATATATCACAATCACTTTGCAACTGATCAAATTTTAATTTAAGGGTGTTAGTTAATCCAAAATTGCAGATTGATTTTAATTACACTGGGATCATTTCAAAGACCTTTGTTCATCTGTAATACAATTTAAGATATTTTAGATTAAAGTAATGTGGCTGAGAGAGTTTAAACTGCATGCAGCAACTTAAGAAAAAACACCAGCAAATTAAGAAACATCTTCACTGGTTTCATCAGTTTTTTTACTTCGTTCAATACATAGACATTCTTTAGGGAATCAGATTAATATATTTAAGTTTTAAGTGTTTTGTGCAGATTCTGACCTACACTAACCATTGATGGGTTACTTAGGCAGAAATAATTTTAAAAAGATTACCTATTGATGACTGATTGATGACCTTGCTTATATATATATACCCTGAATTATTAGCCTCTGTTTATTTTTCCTAAATTTGTCTTTAACAGGGAGCAGATTTTATCAACATATTTCTAAACATAATAGTTTTAATAACTAATTTCTAACAATGGATTTACTTTCTCTTTGCCATTCATTCATTCATTCATTAATTTTCTTGTCGGCTTAGTCCCTTTATTAATCCGGGGTCGCCACAGCAGAATGAACCACCAACTTATCCAGAAAGTTTTTACGCAGCGGATGCCCTTCCGCAACCCATCTCTGGGAAACATCCACACACACACTCATACACTACGGGCAATTTAGCCTACCCAATTCACATGTACAGCATGTCTTTGGACTGTGGGGGAAACCGGAGCACCCAGAGGAAACCCACGCGAAGGCAGGGAGAACATGCAAACTCCACACAGAAAAACTAACTGATCCGAAGTTCGAACCAGCTACCCAGCGACCTTCTTGCTATGAGGCAACAGCACTACTGCTCCACTGCCTCGCCCTTCTTTTTGCCATGATGACAGTAACTAATATTTTACTAGATATTTTTCAAGACTCTTCTGTACAGCTTAAAGTGACATTTTAAAGGCTTAACTAGGTTAATCAGGTTAACTAGCTATGTTAGGGTAATTAGGCAAGTTATTGTATAATGATGGTTTATTTTAAAGACTATCAAAATCCAAATTAGCTTAGAGGGGCTAATAATTTTGACCTTAAAATGGGTTTTAAAAAAAATTAAAAACTGCTTTTATTCTAGCCGAAATAAAACATCAACAGCTCTTACTAGGCTTTCTAGAAACATCCCTGCAGGTGTGTTGAGGCAAGTTGGAGCCAAAATCTGCTGGACACTGGCCCCCCAGGACTTAGTTTGGACACCCTTGATTTAAAGGCTTAATTAGGTTAAGTAGTATGGAGTCAATCTAGGGACATATACTTGCAAAATAAAAAAAAAGGTTTACAAACGAAAAATAAAGTATTGAGCAAAAAATAAAATGAATAAATAAAAATAAAAATTAATTATAAAAATTTATTTTGCTAATAAAATTTAAGAAAATAAATTAATTAATTAAAAAAACATATATAGTGCTAAAAACCCCTAAAATATGTGCAATTAAAAAAAACTCTATATATTTGTAAAACATTTTTATTAGCCTTTAGACAACCCGTCCAGTCAATTGCAATGCTCATTTTGATTTGAGTTTGCGATGCTGTTTTCACTTTGCACTTCATGTTTCTGCAAGTTTCACTTTGTGGCCCTGATTTCTCACGGGGGTGGGGTCAAGGGAACTTGGCCGTTTATGACTGGCCCGGACCTTTAAGCGCCGTCATCAGCTGGAGTCACAGTATCACCTGTCTTACAGCCCAGTAGGTCGGGGACGGCCATAAACACCCAAGTTTCCTTGACTCAGCAAATTGCAAATATTTTTTTTTATTATTTATTTTATTTTATTTACATTTTTTTTTGCACTGCTTGATTTTTATTTGCAGTTCTTTTTTGTTTGCATATTTCATCTTTATTTCTCAAAACTTAATTTTCCCTTTGCTATTCTTTATTTTTGTTGCAAAATGTGTGTTTATTCGTTAAATTATTTTTCGCTTTGTAAATTTTGGAGGTTTGCATTTATTATTTTTTTTATTTGGCAAGTATATATGGCCCTAGATTGACTCCATAAACTAGGCAGGTTAGAGTAATTAGGTTATTGTATAAGTTGGTTTGTTCTGTAGACTGTCAAAAAACAATATAGTTTAAAGGGGCGAAAAATTTTGACCTCAAAATGTTTTTAAAGAAATTAAAAACTCCAGACTTTCTCTAGAAGAAAAAATATTATCAGACAAACTGAAAATTTCCTTGCCCTTTTAAACACCATTTGAAAAATATTTAAAAAGAAAATAAATCTAAGGGGGCTAATAATTCTGACTTCAACTGTATTATAATACTACTAAAATAGTGATATAAAATTTGTGCTACCTCATTTTGTAAACTCTATGGATGGTTTGAGTAAATTGGCTGGTTTTTATGTTTCAGAAACTGCTAACCAGCTTTTTTCAACATTCTGATGCTTAGTTTAAACTTAGTTTAAAAGGTAAAGTTAGTCACATGTCAGCTAACTCAGACGATTGTGCATTAAAAGTTGTTTCTTTTTAACAGGAAAGGAAGGCAAATACAAATTAAGTGGATTCTTTGGAAATAAATACCAAGGTATGGGTAATGTTTATGCATATTTGGGACCCTAAACCACAAAACCAGCCATGGTATTCGGCCAAGATAGTTATTGGAAAATTAGAAATCTGAAATTTAAAAGAAATCTAAATATTAAGAACATTTTAAGTCGCATTTTAAGTTGTCCTCATTATGTTTTAATCAATAAATACAAGTTTGGATATAATTACACAAGGAAATTTGCTAAGTTTGTTCATGGAAGATGATTCTTACTTAATATTCTAATGATTTTTCATATAAAATAAGAATCTATCATGCATTTTTACTTGTACCACAAATATAGCTAACATATAGCTAAAACATAAGGTTTTGCGGCCCATGGTCACATTTAACATTTATAAAGCTTGAATTATGTACATAACATTGATATCTTTTTCTCTTTTTAGGGTAATTTTGAAGATCAAACTGCAAAACTGTGGTTTTCACTCGATGTCTCTATTTTACACTTCTTTTTTTGGTGAATGTTGTACATTTTCTGTTTCTTAATGGGAATATTTTGTTAAACTCTAATTTTGTGTTTTGATTCCTTACAATAAAAATAAACAGCTGCTTGTACAAAAGACATTTTAGATTAAATATAACTATAGCTATATTGCATATTTCTGTCTTTTTGCATTTTTTATTCCATAACTTACAAACACGTACAGTTTTTTTCTGTATTGTTTTATGTAGATCAGTTTTTTTAAATACTATTATTTGTTTCTAAAAGCCATTGTTATTTATTTCTTTAGTATCCTGGGGCAAGGCCCATGAATGGTTTTGAATAAATAAAAATGTATATTAATCTAACTGTCATTCTTTCTCTGCACTAATAATCTCTTATATAGTAGAAAGCAAATGGGATTATCATATGAACAATTTTTGGAAATGTCTCCGATAAGAAATGAAACGCACGTGTGGAAGTCTGCCAGTAGGGTTGTACTTAAGGAACTCTAATCTTCCATGAGCCGACCTCTGCTGAGCCTGACTGCTGCCCACTGATTGGCTACGACACTAAGTAGGAGTAAATTGACCCACAGCTCCTCTGCAAGCAACAGGTTGCTGCAGTTCTACCTGCCGGTACTTCCAAGATGATGGGGCTCGGGTGGCATAAAGTCACAACTTTTGCTAACACTAGATAGCACTAGCTAACTGCACACTTTTAGCTTGATGTAAGCCATTTAAAGAGATTGTAGGCTGTCCGTGCGAAGGAAAGTTCGGAGAGTGGTTAAGGACACTTGAGCGCATTTCATATTCTGCTATGGGTTATTTTACTGGACCAAAACTTCTGGATTTTAAGAGCTCACCACCACATCTTCAGTTCAACAAGTATGTCCATACAGGATACCGGCCTATATCCACTTGCAGAGAGTGTCTACGAAGTTTATTCTATCTCCACAATGAATTTGGGAACATCTATACACATGGTATGGAAAATAAATTGCACAATTTGCATGTCTGAAATGTGTTCATTTGTAATGTATGCTTCATTCTACTGCACTGCAATAAAAATATCAGTTTTTATCTTTAGTTATTTATCTTTTGTTTTAGCAAAACATCTGGTTTCAAATGAAAAACGAGATTAATTTGCTCACCATTTGGCATCTTATTTGACTTGTTTTAAGGAAAAACTTATTTCTTAAAGGAAGACCTTTTTTGTTTTGTTTTTTTGCTTGTCTAGGAAATGGTTCTGGATTTAAGATTTTTTTTAGATGTTAAAAAAGCATTTTCACAGTGGATTGAAGATGTTACATTTACAAATATGGAACACACTTAACAAAAGTAACATGGATTACTTTCAAATGATTAATTTTTTTTTCTGTTTTGGCTTCCCCCTGAAACTGAACTCATGACCTTGGCACTAATAATGTCATGCTCCACTGTTTGAGTTACAGGAAAGCTTTGAGTTACCGAAATGGGGTGATGAAATTCTGGCTGTTAAGAACAGTAAAAGAAGTCTCTGATTAACATAATTGAGAATTTCTGTCTGTTCATCTTTTCCCTGGGATTCGAAACTATGACCTTGGTAGTGCCATTTTTACCTCTTTAAGCTGTTCAAGTTATTAAAACAATGTCAAATCAAATCACTTTTATTGTCACATCAGCAGCAGCACGTGTGGCTCCAGACAGTGCAGAATACAACAATAGCGCAAAATACAGACAGTGCAAAATACTACAACATACAACAACATACTTTCAAAAAAAAAAAAAAAAACAGCACAATGTAAAATTGGCAGTGTTGACAATATGTATAATAAACAGGTATACACATAGTTGCAGGCAGTTTTGTTTTAAGTATGAATTAGTTATTAAAATCAAGTGATTGACTCAGAGGATTGGAACCTTCTCAATATGTAAGAAAAAATTGAGTAACACTTTATTTTGATGGTGTATTTGAGTATTAGTAGGAAACTTTGGAAGTACATGTCAATTTACACAAACCCTAACCCCAACCTAGCAGTCTACTTATAACCTAATGAAAATTAGTTGCAATGTAAGTTAAATTCATTAAACGGACCATCAAAGTGTAACCAAAAATTGTAATCTGTTCTTGCTTTGCCTGGGAATTAAACCCATGACCTTGCCATGGTCTGTGTGAGTTACAGGAAGGCTTTAATTATATGAAACAAGGTGATGAAAATACAGACTGTCTAGAAAAGGACCTTTCTAAACATTTGTTCTAGCTTTCTCTGGGAATCAAACCAATGACCCTCCCATTTGTGGTGTTATGTTTTCAGGTTATACTCTCAACAAGTAAAGATTATTATTAATCATTTATTATTATTGACAGGCGGATTGGTGCAGCGGCTGCAGTAATGCGGTTGATGTATCAGTCCGTTATGGTAGAGAAGAAGCTGAGCTGACAGTCAAAGCTCTTGATTTACTGGGAATCTACGTACCTACTCTCAGCTATGGTCATGAGTTTTGGGTCATGACTGAAAGGACAAGATTTTGGATAAAAGTGGCTGAAATAAGTTTCCTTCACAGGGTGACAGAGCGCACCCTTATAGATAGGGTGAGGACCTCTGTCACCCAGGAGAAGCTTGGAGTAGAGCCGTTGCTCCTCCACATCAAGTCAGCTGAGGAGGCTCGGGCATCTGTTTCAGATGTCTCCTGGATGCCTTCCCTATGGAGGTGTTCCAGGCATGTCCCTCCCGGAGGAGAGCTCGGGAAAGACCCAGGACACGCTGGAGAGACTATGTCTCTTGGCTGGCCTGGGAATGCCTCGGGATCACCCCATAGGAGCTAGAGGAAGTGTCTGGGGTTCTCTCCTAAGCCTGCTGCCTCCACAACCTGCTGCCGGAAAAGGGGATGAATAAGAAATTAAATGAAATTAATATTATTGCTTTTCTTGGGAATTGAACCAATGACCTTGGCATTTATAATGTTCTGCTAAAGTATTCTACTGTTTAAGTTACAGGACGGCTTTAATATCCCCTAAAGCAGGGGTCAACAATCTCGTTCCTGGAGGTCCGGTGCCCTGCAGGGTTTAGCTCTAACTTGCCTCAACACACCTGCCTGGGGGTTTCAAGTATACCTTGTAAGACCTTGATTAGCTTGTACAGGTGTGTTTGTTTAGGGCTGGAGCTAAAATCTGCAGGACACCGGCCCTCCAGAAACAAGTTTGGTGATCCCTGCCCTAAAGCATTGGCACTGAGCATTCAGAAATGCGTTTCTTCAATTCTTGATTTTCCTGGGAATCAAACCCATGACCTTGCCATGCACTGCCATAATCTACTTATTTAAATAAAGTAACGCTTTAATAATTTAAAACAAACTGATAAAAAAAAAACAGTGGCTGTGGAGAAAAGAAACCTGAAGGTGATTCTTATCTATTCTAGTTTTCTCTGGAAATCAAACCAATGACCACAGCATTTGTCGTGCCATGTTTTACGGTTTCAATGTCAACGTGTAAAGTTTTTAACATTCTTATTATAATTTTATTATTATTGTTGTTGGTTTTGCTTTTCTTGGGAATTGAACCAATGCTACTGGCATTTGTAGTGTTCTGTTGTGACATTAAGCATTCAGGTTTACATTACATCAATTCTTGCTTTGCAAGGGAATCAGGCCCATGACCTTGCCATATGTAGTGTCATCTTTTACTGTTTGATTTAAAAGAAGGCTTTAATAGTTTGAAACAAGTAGATGAGATAAATATACAGTGGCTGTCGAGAAAAGAAACTCTGTGAACTTGTAACTCTTAACTGTTTTAGCTTTCCCCGGGAATCAAACCAATGACCTTAGCATTTGTGGTGCCATGTTCTACTGTTTTAATTTGAACATGTAAAGATTGCAATAACTGCTTTTCTTGGGAATCGAACCCATGACCTTGGCATTTGCAGTGTTCTGCTGTGACATTCAACAGATTAAGTTACAGGACGGCTTTAATAGCTACCGAAACATTGGCACTGGGCAAGAATAGAACCCATGCTCTACTATTTGAGTTAAAAGTAAGTTGCTCCTGCTTTCCCTGAAAATCAACCCCATGACCTTGGCGTTTGTAGTGCCATGTTTTACTGAATTAAAAGAAGGCTTTAAGAGATAGGAAACCTCTGATCGTGTAATGTAAAACTACTTTCTCCACTGTTCACCCACTAACCCTCTTCAAATGGGTGTCTAAGTAGCATTACACGGGATTACATCTAATCCTTGTTAGGGAACTGCTGTCCTGGAAGTAATACTGTATAATTTCTGTGGTTAGTAAAAGTGCATGAAAAAATAGGAGGTATACATTTAGGAAATTCCTAAATATGTTTTAGACTTTAGATTCGAATGTGGTGGCCCAGTTTCTCAAACAGGGTTGAGCTAGGGCTAGGACTTAATTAAATAAGGGTGTTTAAACAGCTTTAATAAAAATGACTTAGAAAATCACATTACCGGTGGGCGTATTGTAAGATATCTCACCTGGCTGCCCTCAAGCATGCAATTTAGTTTAGGACTAGCCTTCAGCCTTGTCAGCAAAACCCAGGGAAGAATTAAGTAATTTTAAAATTGATATGAAATCAAACTTTACTTTTCTTGTTTTTATATGTACTATATATAGTATAGTACTTTAATCAATTACTGTAACTCAAAGCAACTTTTGTTCACTTCCTGGTCAAATGGAATTCTTTTAGGGCAGGCATATGAGTGGGCATCTTGTTTCTGCTGAATTTGTCCATTCGTTCAACCTTCCCTCATTTTGCTCGTCTTTCAAGAATTCAACCGATTCCCAAAGAATGAAATAATGCACTGCCCTACATTTTTTTCTTCAGAACATTTTCAAGTGGATGCACGTCACTATAGCGAATAAAAGACAATTTTAACCTCCATTTCATTGCTACTTAATGCCATGTTAATCCTATAAAGACTACAGTTGGCTATCATATCTGATTAAAATTTTTAAGGTTTCTGAATTATCAACTTGATTAAAACTTGAACGCAATGTTCAGCAATATAGCCTTGTGGGAAGTGCGGGTATCCAGAGTTCAAATGCTGTCTTGCGGACCTTTCCTGTTCTACAATTAAGTATCAATAAGTGAGACAATGTAACAGCTTTATCAGTTTTGACATTTTCACAAAAACATCTAAATAGATGGGATCAGGCGCGTTGCTAGGAGGAAAGATGGACAGAGTGCATAGGGCCCTGGCAATTTATGCCGATTTCAGACTGCATGATTTTCAAAGTAGTCGTGTTACAGATGTTTTCACACTGCATGACCATCTGGGGTAGCGTTCTGTTGGTGCTATTATTACACTGCAGAATGGATCGGCAACAGGGTGTTTCACACTGTATGACTTTAAAATAGGAAGAATTGGCGATTCTTGTCTCTGTCTGCAAACTACGTCTCACCACAAAACACATGCGAGAAGTGATATAAAATAAAAACATGAGGTCACGAATTATATCTAAACTAAACTAAACAAGCAAACTAAATCCTGTCGCACTAATTCACTTGATTTTTATGTTATTGTTAAAATAAAAGAAAACATGTATAGTACTGTGTTAAATAAAAATCTTTCATATTTTATGGCTTATGGCTATGATTTAGTTTTCAAAATGTTTTATTTTGATTGTTTTTAATTAAATTGGTCTTACATTTCGTATTTTCTGATTTTTACAGTCTTTTTATTTATTCTGGTACTTTGACCATAAACCAACATCTCAATCATTCAGTAGAGGCTGATGTTTTTGAAATTATGAAATGTGTTGAAATAAAAATGCATTGATTGTGTTAACTAGTGACATGAGGGGTTAAGAAATGCAATAAAAAAATTATATTGCTTTTTTCTTGGTGTGGCAGTTAAAGGGTTATTTGTAATACAATTTTGTTCTTTAATACAGCAGTAAGATTTATGAACTGTACCCTAAATTTGACCCGCTCATAGAACACACTCTTTCTGAATGTTTCAAACTAAACTCCAACACAAAAGACAGCATGAGCATTTACAGCAAATAAACTAATGTAAATATTATCCCGCCTGCTGTTTGAGTGAGACAGGCGAGGTCTTACACCTCTTTGATTGGTTATAGTCTTCACCTTCTCAACAGAAAGAGCTGCGATCGCTGTTCACCGATGGCGGGAAGAACAGCCGCGGCTACTGTCTTTGCGCATAATACGCGGTTATCACAGGTAATCCATAATAGACACAGTGGAGAAAACTCACACCTCAGGCACGCTCGTGTCAGGATCCACAAGTATGGCTTTAACAGCCAAGAGGATAGGAAAAGTTACCTTACAAACAGACCAGTGGGACAAACGTCCAAAGTGAGAAAAAGAGAGAGGGAGAGATAGCAAAATAGATAGTTGTGAAATAGCAGCACATGTGCTATGCTGCCTTCACTCGCCCTCGCCTCCGGCCTTCGCCATAGTATTGCGACATTGTGCATAGGAGAAAAAGGACGTCAGTACGTAATAACCGGTTAGGATTTATTACTGAACCAATATCGATAATTTTGACAGCCCTAGTAACGAGTAACATTGCAGCCCATAAAAAATCTATTGGAGTAAAAGTATTAAACTCATGGAAAATATGTACTGAAGTAGGAGAAAAAAACAATACTCTAGTAAAGTACAGATACTGCCTTTTAGTACTTAAGTACAGTAGTGAAGTAGTTCTACTTTGTTACTATACATCTCTGGTACTATTTCATAATGTATTTAATTTTCTATAAATGCCTGCAGAGCCATAGACCCAAGATGTCCTCGCTGCAGTCTGTAGGATGATGACTTGGATCAGGTTCTATACATAGGACGTTGTCTGTGATGGTTGAGTTTAGGGTTGGGGCAGTTGTAGATCTAGATGTTAAGAACACACTGTAGCAAGTGAGACGGGGCTGAGAGAAGTGAGGGTGTACAAGACGGGTGGTGTGAGTGAGGTAATCAGAGACACCTGGATAAATCACCTGTCTCGTGTCTCACATAGGAGGCTTGGAATTGTAAAGGAGGAGAGACACCAATGCCAGACAACAGAGAAACCGGGCCTAGACATATTAAGTGATGGTTGACTTCAGTTTGTTTGTTCATTTGATTTGTTTTTATTATTATTAAAAAACTTTAAAGTGTGTCGGTCCTCTGCCTCCTTCTTCACGGTCATGTTGTCTGGATCCCCTCACTGCTGAGAGGAAGAGCAAGTGTTCGGGAGATAACCGAGCAGAGGAGAAAAACGTTAGTCTGCCCCAAGGGGCCAGGGTGGCGAGAGGCGGCGATGAAGAGTCTGCAGCCATCTCCCAGCATGGGGAGGAGCAGGGGACATCAGACTCACCACAAGAGCCTTGAGAGCCATCTCAAGAGAAGGCCGGGGGAGTCACCCATGTCTGCCAAGAGCCAGAGCCTACTATTGTCCACTGAAGCAGGAGCGGAGCCGAAAGGGGAAAGAATCCACTAGCTGAAAGAGCCAGAAGACACCAGAAGTCACCAGAAGACATGTCGTCGGCGAATCTCCTGTCGAGGACAGAGTGGCAATAGGTTTGGAGAACCGAACCTTTTCCCCCTTCTGCCCTCTCTCTGTCTCTCCTCTCTCTCTCCTCAGCTATCCAGCCCCATTCTCTAAGCCCTATTTATTCTCAGGTTTAGCTGGTCCTGAAGCATGGATAATTGAATTGTACCTGATCTAGAATGTCATCATGCTACATGTTGCAGTGAGGACACACTCTATAGTCCTGCAGAGTTTTGATCCAGACACATGCCTGTAGCTTTCAAGTAATGCTCAATTGTTCAAGTGTATTTATATAGGGTTTATGCTAGGTTCTGCAGAACTATGGCTCTCCATAAGATTTGCCTACCCCTGTTCTTTTCTTAAAATTTAACAAGCTTTACCCATAAGTTCCCAAGAGGAAAGGCTGAACTAGGTCTAGCTCCACATTTGGCTCTGCATTGAGCCCTACAGTTGTTTGGCTTGCTGTGCCAACATTGTTGCAACAGTTTAGGAGTTTCACAAATTCAAAACCAGTCATGTGTAACATGTTACCTTTCTGGTGTTTTGTTCATCAGGTGTCCCCTTCATCTGTTTTTTGCTGTTTCTGCCTGTGAGTATCCCATGGGCTGAAGTGGACGAGTGGTGGATTGGTATTGTGCATTATCTGGCTTGTCTGTCACCCACCATCTGTTCTGTCTTCTACCATCTTTTCATGAACCATGAAGGTGGAGCACCTATTTATGACACGCTTCTGTGCTTCGACATGTTTGGTGTCTGCCTTGTCAACACTCTTGGTAAGCACAGATCCCTACATCAACATTTTCTTGATAGGCAGCTTAGATCCTGGAGGGCCACTATCCGACAGTTTAGCTCCAAATCTAATCAAACACTCTGCCTGTAGCTTTCCACTGATCTTGAAAACATAAACCAGGTTTTGCAAGTTTGCAAAAAAAAAAAAAAAAAGTGTGAATTGAGTATATTTTTATTAAGTTGTTAGTAGACTGTAGTAATGTTAACTGTTAGAACCCTGATCTAGGGGGCAAGGAAGTAACATAAATGAAACAATATAACAAATACAAGTCCTTGAAGTTTGGTCCATTCATGACCTAAATAAGTTTTTCTTTTAAAAAATGAAACCAAAACCTTTACCTCGAAGAAGATCCACAGAAAAATAACAAATAAAAATGCCCACTAACTACTTCAAACTTAAAATAGATTTTTTTTTCATTCAAAATATGGATTTTCATGATTCATTTATCATGTGATACCTCAACATGGGCATGAACACTGGGTGATAGAAACATTTATTAGCTTCTTCAGTTGTGTTTGATTAGGGTCGGAGCATAATGCTGTGGTCAATCTAGAGTTTGAGTTTGTGAAATTCTGTCGTACAGGACTGCGAAAAGGGGCGGGATTACACAAGATGGTTAGACATTTAAAAAAAGCGAGCTATTAGTCAGTATTTTAAATTTGTGTCCAGTGAGGTCATGCTTTGATCTTCTATTGGTCTCACGCAATCACGTGATGTGATTTTGCAGGTCAGAGTTCACCAAGCTTGAACTTTCCAATGCAGCGAACTGCGAAACTTCTAGCCCAAGCTTGCGTTTCTAGTCTGATGCATTTGCATGCATATAAATGGAAGTCTATGGGGCAAGAAGTGTAGTGTACCAGTGTACCAACTTCTCCAGGACCGAAGTTTACAGTCCCTCTTTTACATTGATTTCCACCAATCATTGCAGTTACAGTAAAAATTAGGTTATAGTTATATTTTTAGGGCAGAGATTAGGATAATATTTTTGGAAAGGAATTAATAAATAAATACACAGGATGCATAAATAAATACATAGTTTTGAGAAAGAGAAAATGTCCAATGAGCTATAGTTCTGAGGGCCACAATACAAAGAAAAACAACAGTAGAACATCTCTGAATACATACATAACCCAAACTTGAAACAAATGAGCTACAGAAGACCACATCTCACACTGCTGTCAGCTAAGAAAAAGAGTCAGCATTTGGCATAAACAACATAAAACACAGATTTGCCCTGCCTTGAATGGTAAGTGCATAAAAATTGTTCAGCCAGGTGCTGGTTGTGTAATGTTGTGGGGAAAATTCTGTTGGCTCCCTTCCTACCATTTAAAGGGCACCTATGGTAAAAAAAAATCTACTTTTCAAGCTGTTTGGACAGACATGTGTGTAAGTATAGTGCATAGACCGTCATATTTTGGTGATATAAGCACACACAGTCCTTTTTTTCAATTATACAACATAAAAACGGTGGACCAATTGGAGCAGTTTTCAGAGCGACCGCAACTTGACGTAGGAGTGCGGTCCCCCCGCCCACCAATATTGATTGACAGGCGCATTATCATATCCTCAGTTTGTTGATTCAATTCTGCCATTTTCAGCGTGTGAGTCAAAGCGAAATCGCTAAAGGAACACCCTTGCATTGTTTTTAGATGTAAGGCTTATTGGGCTCAACACAAAATCAATATTATCCTCATTATCACTCTAATCGGAATTATTGGTTGTATCATTAGGTAGGTTTGCAAATATGTGTACTTTTCATTGCGTCTACCTTAAACTTAAGCCATTTGCATTTCTTGAGGTCACAGAAGCTCCCTGTGATCTTAACTAGGTGCAGCTAGAAAAGTGCAAGCGCATTGGTTGCTTCATGTGCACGTCTCTCCATTGGAAATAATATAACTTGCCTGCTGGTCGCACACCAGAAGCGCCGCTCTGCATGGCGCGACGCTGACACAGCACCATGCATTTTGGAGTTCTGGGTGTGGGTTTCTGTCAGGGTACACACAATGGCACTTCAAGCCGGCGGCTGGGTCAGCCTCGGACAGCTGCCGTTGTGTTTACCCTGATGGAGGCCTGCGTTTGGAGCTCTAGAATGCGTGGCGCGACAATTTGGGACACTTTATGTTTCTGCCGCATCACAGAGAGTGTCTGGTGTGCCCTGTCACGGCGCATCCGGTGCCTCAGTCAAAGTTAATTCAGTGTGCGTGGTTATTAGTCTCGGTGTACTAGCTCGGCACTTTAAACTAGCACACAGTTGTCTGTAAAACTATAGAAAGACACAAATGATTTTGTACTCTGCTTGGTCTGTGTCCGAGTCGTGCATGTACGGCTGAATGCTGATCCTTTCACTCCTGCTCTTTCTATCTGTCTGCCTGTCTGTTGCAAACACAGAATGGTTAGCTCTTGGCTCTGGCCCCTTTGTTACATTGAACGGGAAGCTGAAACTACTTTTCATGAGAAGCAACATGCTCCTAAAACAACAAACTGTGTACACGCCCCCAACATGACACTTTTTAACACATTATAATAAAAACATTTGAACTGTGTTTTGAACTGGACCTAAACTGGCACACTCAGAAGAACTATAATACTAATATTAAATTATAAAAAAGGGGTGAACTATGTGCCCTTTAAGAGTATCCATCTTGTAATGACCATTTCCAGTAGGATAACATGCCATGTTGCATATTTTGAAATGGTTACTTGAGCATGACAGTGTGACTAAAAGTCACCACATTCCAGTAGAGTACCATTAAAGAGCCCCTATTATGCAACAAAAAAGGTCATTTTTTGTTTTTGGGGTCTCCAACAACAGGCTTTTATGTATGCAAGGTCAAAAAAACTTTCATTGTCTAATAATTTTCATTCATTTTTACCTAATTTTACCAACGACTTCCATATGATTTGTTCAGTGATTCATTTGTTCCCAAACCTCCTTAGCATGAAGCTAATCTGCGCTGATTGGTCCGATGACCCAGTTTGTTGTGATTGGTCAACTGTGTTCAGCTCAAGACAGAGAGAAATGCCCACCAGGGCGAATCAACATTGTTGAAGTAGTCAGAGTCCGAGTATATGTGTGAGCCCAATGCTGGAGTGCATTAAAGCAGTGCAGTTAAACACCAGCTTATTGCTCTATTCTTAACCATAATTAAAAACAACAACACACATTCAGTATTAACCCATACAATGGCAAAGTCTGAACTACTTTGAATGTGTGTAGGAACAGCTGACCATAGCCATAGCAACGAGAAACGTCTAAAGATTGCGAACTCACAAACGCATTTAAATCCGTTAACAAAGAGCACATGTTGTGTTTTCAGCGTGGTTTTAGAGAATATAATTAACCAGATACAGTACAAGTTGCGTGGAGCGATTACAAGTAACAAATTACAATTAAATACATATTTTGAAAGCTAGAGAAAACAAGGAGGCACATTTTAATTACACTTACACTTGTGAAATGGATGAAGCAACTAATCCATGAATTGTGTACTGCAATTTCCTGTCAAGCTCCCACAGAATCCCATACATCAATATTTTTTCTAATCCTTCCTTTAACAAACGGCCGATGAATACCCCATAGCAGGGTAGATTATTGAATTAGTCACCAGAATGTTCACTCATTAATGTTCACTCATCTTCAGTCATGATCAGTCCCACAGACACCTGCACTCTAGTTTGAAGGGAAAGGAGCGTTCACGTTTTACCAGATCTGACACAGAAGATATTTGGTATTGTTTCGTGTCGACGGCAAAAGATCTGCGAGAATGATGAAGTCGAATCATTTATTTAAAAAGAAAAATGTATTTAAACAAGGAGCATTTTCAGAGAAAGTCATTTTCATTGGAAGGTCATTTTCAAAAACCCATAACAGGGGCACTTTAATATGTGTCAACGACAAATTGTGCATTATAGATGTGCTGCTAAAAATCTGCATTGGTATATTTTAGTATGGATCTCCTTGTTGAACCTACAAGGCACAAAGAATTTTGGCAAAAAAGAGGTTCAACCTGATTCTAGTAATTAATACAATGAATCCACAATTGTTGTCAACCACTAATTTTTTTTAATTAAACAAAAGTTTTACATTCAGAATATTTCCATTTTAAATTTTATTTATTTATTTATTTTTTGTGGCCCTTAAAAAGTTAACCAGGTCAACAGGTTTAATCAGGGTGACATGGTCATAAAGTTGTCCATAAACAGTTAAATACCAGAATTTTTGCTGCTTCTTTTTATTCAAGGGCCAATAAAGTTCCCTTTTGGTTTTCCAGGTGCTCTGCCAATCATTCACATCACATTGTTGTGTCACCCAATCACCCGTCAAGTGGCGATGTTAGCGTATCTCCTCCTCTCTGGCTATGGTGTTCACTGCGCTCTCACTGCAGAGAGTAACATTCACCGCCTGCAGTCCTTCATCTGGCAGGCAGGCTTCCGCTTTGTTCTCTTTATGTTTCGTCTGATTGGTCCAGGCAGAGGAAGCCCCTCCTCCCTTCAGCTCTACCTCACCATGGATGCTCTGGCAATGTTTGGAGGACTTGTCAATGTTTCCCGCTTTCCTGAGCGATTCAGTCCTGGACGGTTTGACTACTGGCTAAATAGTCATCAGATTATGCACATCATGGTCGTTCTGTCTATACTTTACTTACACTGGGGCATGCTGGAGGATTTACGATGGTTAAAGGGATATCACTGTCCTGATGAATATGGCATTTATGATATTTAAAACAATTAACAGTTGCCTGTAGCTTTTGATTCATAAATGCTTTCCATTTATATGCTTTCAAGATGCATTATAAGACACTGTCTGTGGTTGAATTTGACAATGGTTGATTCGGAAAGTATTCACTGTGCTTCATGTTTCCACATTGTTTATGTTACAGCCTTATTAAAAAATTTCCCAAAAAATTCTACACACAATACACCATACGGACAATGGGAAATAAGATTTTTTTGAATTGTTGCAAATAAAAAAGTTTTTTTAAAAGCTCTAAATTGAGCTCAGGTCCTCTGATCATTCTTGAAATGTTTCAGCAGCTTAATTGGAGTTCACCTGTGGTAAATTCAGTTGATTGGACATGATTTGAAAAGGCATACACCTGTCTATATAAGGTCCCAGGGTTGACAGTGCATGTTAAAGCACAAACCAAGCATGAAGACAAAGGAATTGCCGTAGACCTACGGGACAGAATTGTCTCAAGCACAGGGCTGGGGAAGGTTATAGAAAAATTTCTGCTGCTCTGAAAGTTCCAGTAAGTACAGTGTCCTCCATCATCCATAAGTCAAATATGTTTGGAGCTACCAGGACTCCTCCTAGAGCTGGCTGGCCATCTAAGCTGGGTAATCCAGGGAGAAGGGCCTTAGTCAGGAAGGTGATTAATAACCCAATGGTCACTCTGTCTGAGCTTCAGCGTTCCTCTGTGGAAAGAAAAGAAACTTACAGAAGTACAACCATCTGTGCAGCAATCCACCAATCAGGCCTGTATGGTAGAGTGGCCAGATGGAAACCACTCCCTGCTTGCAAAATTATCTGGTCTTATGAGACTAAAATTTAACTCTTTGGAGTGAATATCAGTCATTACGTTTGGAGAAAACCAGGCACCACTCATCACCAGGCTAATAATATCCCTACAGTGAAGCATGGGGGTGGCAGCATCATGCTGTTGGGATGTTTTACAGCAGCAGAAACTGGAAGACTAGTCATGATAGAGGGAAAGATTAATGCAGCAATGTACAGAGACATCCTGAATGAAAACCTGCTTCAGAGTGCTCTTGACCTCAGACTGGGGAGATCGTTCATCCTTCAGCAGGATAATGACTCAAAGCACACCTTTAAAATATCAGTGGAGTGGCTTCACAACAACTCAGTGAATGTCAATGAGTGGCCTAGCCAGAGCCCAGACCTAAATCCAATTGAACATCTCTGGAGAGATCTGAAAATGGCTGTACAGGGTCACTTCCCATTCAACCTGATAGAGCTTGAGAGGTACTGCAAAGAGGAATGGGCATTCCCAAAGACAAAGACAGGTGTGCCAAGCTTGTGGCATCATATTCAAAAAGCCTTGAGGCTGTATTTGCTGCCAAAGGTGCATTAACAAAGTATTATTTAAAGGCTGTAAATACTTCTGTACATGTGATTTTTCAGGTTTTTTATTTTTTAAAAATTTGCAACAATTTAAAAAAATCTTTTTTCACATTGTCATTATGAGGTATTGTGTGTAGAATTTTGAGGAAATCAATTAATTTAATCCATTTTGGAATGAGGCTGTAACATTTTAAGAAATGTAGAAAAAGACAAGTGCTATGAATACTTTCCAGATGCACTGTACTTATGAATCTACAGACAACTTTTAACAGATCTTGTTTGTGTGAAAATTTCACTGTCTCCACAATTGTATGGTTTGATCATTTAGAATTGTTTCTACATGTTACAACAACTTAAGACCTGTCCTGGAAAGATTGCTCAGAATTGCAGTCCATTATTCAAATTACATGACAAAAAATATAGTTTTTTAACAATTTATTGTGTTACACGTTTAAAGTATTTTAAATTATGTTTGACTTCACTAAGTTATCATTGGTTTGAACAGATATTCTTGTGCCATATTGATCTAAAGATCAAGACAACCAGTATGAAGGCAACAGGTATTTCTTCCCTATGTTATGTCAAAGATGTATTATAAAATTACAAAATGTTTGGGAGTCCCTGCATTAAAGAAATTGATTTGAATGAATTTGTATGCATTTCAATGAGTTGTAAAGACAAACGCCTTCCAAAGATGTAGTTCTCAGCAAAACTTAGTACACCCCATTTTGAAAATGAATATTTTTATCCATTTCTTAGTGAATATGGGTAATGTACATTTAGGTAAATATTTATTAATTATAATTTTGCATGAATTTATGCATTTTTTTATGCAAAAATATTTTAGTCACAGAACATCTTTAGAAATGGGAAGATAATACATTTACAAACTACATTTCAACAATACTGTATATATTTTTGCTTCTCTTGAAAATGTTATTTGATTTTCCCTAACATATACATTTAGGCTACTTTTTCTAATTTTTGAATCATTATTGTAAGTTATTTAGTTAGATTAGTTCCAGATTTGGCTTCAGTACTGACCAAACTAATAAACATTGTGAGGCATCTAATAGAAGATATATTTAATAATTTAAATGAGAGATTTGTGGTGGTGTACATATAGTGGTGGTGTACACATCAGTGGAGTGGCTTCACAACAACTCAGTGAATGTCAATGAGTGGCCTAGCCAGAGCCCAGACCTAAATCCAATTGAACATCTCTGGAGAGATCTGAAAATGGCTGTACAGGGTCACTTCCCATTCAACCTGATAGAGCTTGAGAGGTACTGCAAAGAGGAATGGGCATTCCCAAAGACAAAGACAGGTGTGCCAAGCTTGTGGCATCATATTCAAAAAGCCTTGAGGCTGTATTTGCTGCCAAAGGTGCATTAACAAAGTATTATTTAAAGGCTGTAAATACTTCTGTACATGTGATTTTTCAGGTTTTTTATTTTTAAAAAATTTGCAACAATTTAAAAAAATCTTTTTTCACATTGTCATTATGAGGTATTGTGTGTAGAATTTTGAGGAAATCAATTAATTTAATCCATTTTGGAATGAGGCTGTAACATTTTAAGAAATGTAGAAAAAGACAAGTGCTATGAATACTTTCCAGATGCACTGTACTTATGAATCTACAGACAACTTTTAACAGATCTTGTTTGTGTGAAAATTTCACTGTCTCCACAATTGTATGGTTTGATCATTTAGAATTGTTTCTACATGTTACAACAACTTAAGACCTGTCCTGGAAAGATTGCTCAGAATTGCAGTCCATTATTCAAATTACATGACAAAAAATATAGTTTTTTAACAATTTATTGTGTTACACGTTTAAAGTATTTTAAATTATGTTTGACTTCACTAAGTTATCATTGGTTTGAACAGATATTCTTGTGCCATATTGATCTAAAGATCAAGACAACCAGTATGAAGGCAACAGGTATTTCTTCCCTATGTTATGTCAAAGATGTATTATAAAATTACAAAATGTTTGGGAGTCCCTGCATTAAAGAAATTGATTTGAATGAATTTGTATGCATTTCAATGAGTTGTAAAGACAAACGCCTTCCAAAGATGTAGTTCTCAGCAAAACTTAGTACACCCCATTTTGAAAATGAATATTTTTATCCATTTCTTAGTGAATATGGGTAATGTACATTTAGGTAAATATTTATTAATTATAATTTTGCATGAATTTATGCATTTTTTTATGCAAAAATATTTTAGTCACAGAACATCTTTAGAAATGGGAAGATAATACATTTACAAACTACATTTCAACAATACTGTATATATTTTTGCTTCTCTTGAAAATGTTATTTGATTTTCCCTAACATATACATTTAGGCTACTTTTTCTAATTTTTGAATCATTATTGTAAGTTATTTAGTTAGATTAGTTCCAGATTTGGCTTCAGTACTGACCAAACTAATAAACATTGTGAGGCATCTAATAGAAGATATATTTAATAATTTAAATGAGAGATTTGTGGTGGTGTACATATATATGCTGGCACTGTATGGTATATTTGGTAAAAAAATTTTCAATGACAAACAATTATGTACATTAATTAGTAAATTCGTCTTTAAAATGACCTTAAAAATTCTTAAAATTAGTGTTTCTTTGATTAATTTATTTTATTTTTTAAGAAATGAAGTGAGCAGCCCAATAAAATCCAAACATTATGTGGAAGCTAAAACTGAAATGCACTTTATCTTTTCAAGGTTGAAAAATCATATTTAGATTGTGTACTAACATTTTTAATTGGCAAACCTGATGAATTGTATTTACAAGGTGCTATTTATATCGAAATTTATATCATAATCAATTTTACTTGAAATAAACAAGCTGGACTTTAATATTATATTTGAAATCTCTCTCTGTAACTCACTGAAGTATAACACCTGGTCACACAAGAAAACCCATTTACATTGGATGTATGTACTGTCATACTATTGTCTACTGTAAATTTTGACAAGTATTGTGACTTGTTGAGTCGTGATATGACCTACTATAGGAGTTATATGGCTAAAAAGAGTCAAAACGAAATACAATAGAGCCCAATATCAAATAAACATGCACTATATAATCTTTAAATATCCCATGAAGTGCTTTGAAATGTGCATTTTTCCCCCAAAATTTAATGTACTGTAATCTCAACTGAAACATGAAGACAGAGGGTTCTATTTTAACGATCTACGAACAAAGTCTAAAGCTCATGACGCAAAAGCATAAAGGACGTGTCCGAATCCACTTTTGCTATTTTAAGGAGGGGAAAATACTATCTGTGCCCTGGTGCATGGTCTAACAAGGTTGTGCTCATTCTCTTAACAAGTTATGGGTGTGTTTTGAATATAATGTGCATTAAACCAATCAGAGTATTATCTTCCATTCCCTTTAAGAGTCAGTTGCATTTGCTATTTACATGGCGTGTGTTGTAAGTGGAAAAACTGAAAGTTTTACTAGTGGGAAAACAGACTGTCTGCAGTGTGAGGATAAAGAATGAGCCTCCTCCATTCAGCCACTTTACTTTCTCTTTACTTTTACTCCTTTCGTGGGTTAGGAAACTGTTGTATGCATGAAGACATGCATTAGCCTACATATTTAATTGTGTTTGTTAGGCACAAAGATAACTATTTCTATATTCAGTTCTAATTTCCATCAAACAAACAAATGGACAATAATAACAAAGTGTGGTTAAAAAAATTCTAAGTTATATCCAAACACACGTCTTATTCTTATGCCCCATTTAGAGACACATTCATTTCCAAAACCGACAGATGGATCTAAACTTGTTTTTAATTTAAACATATATATATACATATA